GGTACATATTAGTTTGTGTCTTCAATTTATTCTTGGGATTGTGCGATGCATATCGTCATAAATAGTTTGTTCTTGTATGATATTTCATGTCCTTTAGGGTTTGGGAACATTCTCCCCTGAGGAAGAAGGGAAAGATTTCTTTCGAAATCTTGAGAATCATAGGAAATACTTTGTTTGGGATGATAGAGCTGATGAGGCGATTGATCTTGCCTTTAATAAGAAAAGAGCAGATGATAGGAAAGGGTGGCTTAACAACTATATTCGTATGGAGCTGAAGCGGGAGTGGGAAGAGCAGCGTAGTAACCGAGTTAATGATGAGGATGAAGAAAACCACAACGACAAGGATGAGGAGACGCATACAAACTATACTGATTTTTTTAACAAGAAGTATTTAAAGTATTGCATTGCTGCTCTGAAAAGGACAATTCCATCAATAGTTGATGGATTGAAACCCGGTCAAAGGAATATTTTGTTCTGCGCTTTGAAGAATAAGTTAATCGGAATAATAAAATTGGAAGCGTTTTCTAAGTCTGTCGATCACCATAGTTCGAGTAATGTCGCCAGCATAACCATGGGAATGACTCAAAATTATGTGGGAAGCAACAATGTCAATCTCTTTATTCCCCATGGCAATTATGGAACACGAGGCCGGGTAAGAATGTCACTCATTGAACAAGCTTGAATGACATTGATCATGAATGTGTAATGTAACTCTTAAATTCTATGACAACCTTTTGTTTTACACACATATATTCCTTTTTCCTTTCTACTTTTAGTGGGGCGAAGACCAGTCAGCACCTCGTTATCTACACATTGAGCTTTCTCCTATTGCAAGATTGATTTTCCTCGATGACGAAAGCTCAGATCAACAAGGCAAAGAAGTTAAACCTGGAAGGTACGTAGTTTGTTTGAATATTTTTACTAACATTACTCTTCTTTCCTTCCTTAAAAGTTTAGGTGGTAAATTATTGAAATTGTTCTCTTTGGGATGATTCTTTTTGTTTGCCATGTAGGTATTTTCCAATAATACCCATGGTCCTTGTTAATGGTTGTGAAGGAATTGGAGTTGGGTGGAATACCAGTGTCCCCAGTTACCACCCGATACACATAATCAAGAACATGATGCATTTAATTGATTCCAAAGGGAAGTAGACAAATTGCCGGTGGAAATGCGCCCGTGGTATAAAGGTTTTCATGGAAGGATAGAGGGTAGCCAGTCCAGCGATGGCGACTACACCTCTTAAGGGTGCATACAAGAAAGCAACGGGATGTTAAAGATTACGGAGTTGCCAATCCGTAAGTGGACGGACAAGTATTTGAAATTTCTTAATTCAGTCGCCGAACACAATGTAGAGGCCAAAGATCCTTTCATTAAGGTAAAATTTTCCAGTATAAAAAGTTAACATCAAATTTGGTTTGTAATTTGTAGTTATTTTCAGTTTCGAATAAAACAGTAATACATGCTCCAGGGTTACAAAAAATACGGAGATGATACGAGTCCAATAGACATCCGTGTCAAGCTGTCGGGTAAACAACTTAGGGAAGCCAAGCAAGAGGGTTTGGAAAAAAACTTCAAACTTGAAAAGAAACTAAAGACTTCAAACATGGTCTTGTTTCAAAATGACAACAGCTTGAAGCTCTATCGTACCCCACAAGAGAGTACGATTTAACATCATCATCATTATTATTATTATTATTTTGTGTTCTTGCAAAAATATATATGACCTGATTTTTATTTTTATTTTCGCGACTGCAGTTCTTGTGGAATTTTATAAAATTGGAATGGAACAATATCAGACCAGATTGGTAAGTTCATTTCTGGAATTGAACGGTAGGAGACCAGATTGGTGAGTAAATTCATGTTTTGCATATCTGTCAACTGATTAATTTTCTATCATGCATGCAGAATAATCTTCGAAACAAGACGGCTGCTGAAGTTTTGAAATTGAAGAGCGAGCTTGACTTTGATAAGAGATATCGTGAGGGAAACATCATTCTATCAAACGACCACATGCAGAAGAATGTTGATTTGCTGGAATATATAAAACATCAAGGTTTCGAAGATAATCCAGAGAATCTTGCATCCCTGAAACTTGTATCCTTAACCAAAGAAAGTGAGACAGCCCTTAAAAAAGAATTGGCAAAGATGGAAGAGGAACTTAACAAGGTGGTAAACAAGGCTGCAGCTACAGTATGGATAGAAGATCTACAAGTTCTTGAAAATGAACTACTTAAGGACAAATTTTTCCGGCTTACCGACTAATGACATTAAAGACGTGGCCAGCCTTGAATATAGTAGACCCATCAAAACTAATGCTTAGCGACATCAACAGGGTGCTACCATGACCGGACCTTACTCTTCATATCAGATAAAGCTCTTCTATGGTTTTCGAATTCCATGACACTAGAAAATCTATGGAATTGTTGGAAACGTTAACACTCTCTGGAAGATATATATGAAATTCTTAATTTATAATTCATAACTTTTGCTTATACAATCGATTATGTTTCAAGATTCAATTTTGTTATTATGAATTCTAGGATACAAATTTTACTTGTGGTTTCATTTATTTATTTTTATCTTATGGAATTTGATTTGGGTTTGGTAACGGTAAAGCATGAAAGAAAGCAAAAAGAATATCTGATTTCTGATCTTTTGTGGTGATTATAGCTTTTCCATGATTTTTGTTACAAGTCTTCACCAAAATACCTCAGCCCCACGCCCATTCCTCCTCCCTGTTGTCCTGACCTTGCAACTGTATCAAACAATGCCGGTCAATCATAATATTCTAGACACTGATGCTTCGTGTAGTAGGTTCAGGTTCCACCAAATTCCCATAATCTTTAAGGGACATTAAGGTCCCTGTATAGCTCAAGATGCTTGTAATCCTGAAGCGCCTAGGTGGAAATAACTTTACATGATTCATGGAGCCAGATCTTAAATCCACAAAGACTGTAATCTTATGACTTTCTGTAATCTCTTGTGAAGTGATGAATATGCCATGCTCCCACTCACAACATGTCAAGTTAATAAGCTCGCCTCTGACAGTTGCATTATCTATCTTGTACTCTAGCCTCCACTCTTTTGTATCATAGTTCTTCAACACCCATATCTCAATATAGTTCTTCAACACCCATATCTCAATAAGTGCTGGTTACATCATCAAATCCCATACCAAACCATTCCTTGTACGTTCCATACAAACTGTATGGAATTTGGATATCAGTGGTTGGGAGAGGAAGAACTTCTCCCTTTAGAGGATTGAATAAGAAGCATGGACTTCTATCATTCTTTTTGTACGGTTGAAAAATATAATCATGATCTAGAAAGAAAAACAAGTTGTAGAAAACAAAACCCAAACAATATGAAGCACTAATCTTGGACCTAATATCAGAAACAATTGCATGGTCTTCGATCCTCTTCAAGGCCGCGTTGATGCCATTATATTGTAGTGGTGTAAATGCAAATCTACAATGAGAGTCATAGGAAAATTGATCAAGAAGCATAAGCAAAGGTACTTGTTCGGAAGCAACAGTAGATTGCGCCAAAAGTAAACGTCACATGTGTAGTGTAACAAAGCAAAGGCAGTCGACTATGTTCTTTGATGTCTTAGAGACACATCTGAGGCAAAAAAAGACAGCTTATGGGTAGCCTCAAATGGATGTTGTCAAGGATTTCGGTGGGTAGCTCCATCAGCCTTGCATTGTTCATGCAGCACTGCCCCAATCTCCTATGATTGCTCCTCACCATATCCATGTCCATGTCCATGTCCATATGAAGAGAAGCAAAAAGTGAATTTTTATTAGAAGCTGAGTGTAAGTAGGTTGGCTGTTTACATCAGCTAAGGAGTGTAAGCTAAGTGTAAGTAGGTTGGCTGTTTACATTAGCAGTCTTGTGTCCTTAATTCAAGGGATGTAACAATCCGTCTCGGGATTTACGGAACAAAAAATGTATTTTTGTATTTTCACTAAGTTTGGAGATATTTTTCCTTTTAAAAATGGTTTTTGAGTCTTAAATGGTGTGCCCAAGAGGCCCACCCCCTGATTTTTTGTCCCCCGAGCCTCTCGTCTCTCTCCTCTCTCAGTTCTCTCTCCCTTTCTCACAACTCTCATTTCTCTCACTCTCTCTCCCTCTCACTCGTGTTCTCCCTTCCTGCACACCCTCATCTCCCTCATCATCAATCACCACAACAACAAAACATCATCACCATCACCCCTGGGAACTAAGGATCAAAGAAAGAACACCACAACCCCTTCTCTTCCTTTCGGCCGGTACTGTTCATTATCTTCTCCGTCGTGTTTCGTATTTTTCCAATGTTGGTAAGCTTCTAGAAACCCTTGGGTTATGTTTTAGGGTTAGATCGAAGCTTGTTTTAAGTGGTGTATATGTGTGAATCGTAGAAAATAGCTCGGAGTAACTTTTCCAAATTTTTCAGCGAGCATCGCCCCTTTCGAGGCAATTTCTGGACAAACCACGGTGAGTTGGCTGATGTTCAAGGTATCAATCTCTTCGTCTTGCTGAGTACTACAAGAAATCAACCAAAGTATCAATCTCTTCGTTTGGCCCAACCACGGTGAGTTGGTCGGCGTGCAAGGTATCAATTTCGTTGAGTATTGAAGAAGTTATGAGCCTTAAAAAATCAACCTAGAAACCGGCCAAGAGCTTGGCCTGAAAATAGGTTAACCCAACCCGTCTGCCTTAAAACCCAAACCCATTTGGGCTAAGACCTAGCCCAATTACCCCAAACCCAAATCCTTTTAAGTCTAAGGCCTTTGGGGCATTCCTATCGAGCCCAACCCAACCTCCTTTTATTTTTATTTTGTTTTTTTGTATATTTTTATTATTTGTTTTAAAGGCCTTGGGCCTCATCTGTGAAGGCCCTGAATCCAAACCCATTTTTCCATTTCAGTTCTAAGGGCCTTTGGGCCAAATTGATTCAATTTGGTTGTTAAAAATAGAAAGTAACGTGCCAGAAGATAAAAATGGTTGGAAAATAATTTTAAGAACAAATACAGGGCGTAGTGGAAAAATAATTTTCTTTTAATGTAGTGGGCGAGGCAAATGACCTTTTATCAAAAAATAAAAAATAAAAATATAAACTCCGAAGAGAACAGTGCGCTTGGGCCTTCAGTAATCGTGACTTTAGCAGTCTCGACGACTGTCTCACGAAATTCACCACCGCCGGTACGCCGCCGTGGTTGCTTGTCAGAGCACCAAAACGTCCAGAGCCAAAGCCCGCACCTTCTCGCTGACGCTCTCACCGGTTATGCGAGGCAAGGTATTGATCTCAAACTTGACAAGTATATGCTTTGCATTCTGCAATACGCCTCTTGTCTTTGGCTTTGTTTCCGTTGTGTCTCCAAACATTTTAGTAATTTTACACTCCATGCGGAAGTTCACTCGCTGTTTACATTTTGAATGCAGTCTAACTGTTTGTGAAAAGTTGCGAGTGGCAGGTGGGTTGGAGACTTTCGAGTTCCAAGTTCATTTTTTTAGATGAATTATGGGGCTGAGGTGTAGTGGTAGGCACCGAGGGTAAGGGGGAAGATGCTTGATCGGTTAAGTCGGCTGTTGCTTTTGCACTGCTGCTCCAAGGCCGTGGCTATTTGTAGGTTTGAGCAATCCCCGCGATAAGTACAAAGGAACTAGGCTCAATGTACCATTCCAGATTATACATTTAGTGGCTACAATTTGAGATTTTTAGTTTTCATGTTTGTTGTTTCGATAACAAGTTTCAGATTCTCCTTTTTTTTGTTTGAAGCAGGCGAGGTTTCAGATGATTGATGCTTTTGCTGGTTCGCAAGGCATTGCAATGAACACGGTCCAATGCAAAGCTATACTTGGGCAAAGCACGTAAATCTAACCCAGAAGAGTTAAAGCAGCAAAATTATTTCTGAGTTCAAATCTAAACTTTTAAAGTCAAAACTTTTTAATTTTAATCCAAGAGTTAAAAATGGTCTAAAAGAGACATAAATAATTTAACATGAGTTATTGTGTTTCCAATCCGGTACACAATTGACATGACGTATGTGATTAATAAAATTTTGACATGTAACAAATTTTTTTATACATCTAACAATCTCAATTACTTCAAAAAATAAAAAATAACCAATCGTCGCAACGTTACCTGTCTAAACTTCATTGGTCAGATTACCACTCCATTGAGGAATTTTTCAAAGTAATGGATAGACACACATATGCATGACAGGTGGTGTTCTCCAATAATCACTTATTGACATCTGTAAAAAGACCCCCCAGCCTTTCTTCTTCTTCCCCGTCCGCGCCGGCTACCATTCCTCTCGTAAATCCATCAATCTCATCTTTACAATTTTAATCGCGCTTTATCATTTTTCAGATCAATCAAATATAAAAATAATTTAATATAACAAAAAACATGATTTAACTGATGGGGATTCCGCTGACCTCACAAGTCCTTGAATCGGAGGCCGTCAACAACAAATCTAAGGGTGCCATTGACTATCCTCGAGTTACATTTCGACATACGAGAGAGAGAGAGAGAGAGAGAGAGAGAGAGAGAAGAGGAGAAAGAAGGTATTGGGTGTCGCCGACAAAGTCATAAGGCGACGGTTGAAGCGGGTGGTTTGCTGGTATAACGTGGCAGTCTCCATATCATATACAGAACCATGCCTCTTTCATAATCCTCATTAGGAAACGTTGTGATCTGCGTAATTAGTACTGCCTAGAGTTGAAAAGAGAGCATAATTACAAAGAATTTTAGCTTACTTTTTTTATGAACATTTTTTAAGCTTAAAACTTTTAAATTCCATTAAATACCGAAAATTTACACAACCCAACCTACCACATTCTTAAACACAACTTCATACACATATGCACCACATTATTAATAATAATTAATTTTTTATTCCAGTTGGCAAAGAAGTAGGCTCTACTCTTGCCACGTTATCATTTAACAGCCAAATTATCAAAAAATTTAATAGAGGTCTGACATTGCAACAAATTCATAAGTTAAGGTATAACATTGCAATGTTTAAAACAAGTGGTATGAGAATGTGATTCGACCAACAATTGAGGTAGTTTTGTGTAATTTACCTAAATTTATTTGATAAGATAGATAGTCGTCTAGCAGTAAATCAACACAACATATAGTATATTCTTGCTAGAATGTGTAGTTCACATTCACATTATTACATTATTACATCATCATCATTGTACAAAGTGAAAACCACAAATTATTGAAATTAATATTTCAGTGTAATCAAACAAATTGATAGTTATGGTGGTTTCAATTAATGTGATTGTGAGGGAAAAGGCGGATTGGAAGTCCTTTGGCAGGCATGGCCAATGGGTCCATTACAATTTTCTCTTGGGGAAGAAGTCTCTCACATTTGAACCTCTTGACCAGGTTGTGCATGAACACAAGTATTTCCATCCGGGCATACTCTTTGCCGGGGCACATCATTGGCCCTCCTCCAAATGGAACATAAGTGCATGGTGCTGGCCCGGTTCCTTCAAACCTCGACGGATCAAATTTATCGGGTTCCTGGAAATAATCTGCACTCTTGTGCGTTGTGATCGAACTCCAAATAATATCCAACCCTTTGGAATTGTGTATCCATTGAAGACAAAGTCAGTTGTGGCTTCCCTGAAGGATCCTTGAATTGGTGGTGTCAATCTCATCACTTCTTGAGCTACATTCCATGAGTACTTCATTTTCTGAATGTCATCCCAGTTTAACAACTCTCCAGGGGCTTTCGAATTTGCAATCTCCATTTGCTCTGTAATTAGTATTTGATTTAGCATCCAACAACAACGAAACCATAAGTATTATTTTTAGTAATTTGGATGTCATTTAACCCAAGTGCCCAAATGATGGAGCATCTGGTGCAATTACGTACCCTTGTAGACTGCATCGTAGATGTGAGGGAGTTCAGCAAGAAACTTGACAATGAGGGTGCAAACAGCGCCAGTAGCTTCATAACCACCAATTAACAGCCCCATAATCTTAGTACTGATATCCAATTCCTTAATGTAGGTTCCATCCTCATCGCATGTCATGAGCATGTGTGACAAAATGTCTTGCGTCGGAGAAGCCTTGCCATTAGCCAAATCAGCCTTCCTCTGCTTTATTATCTCCGTCAACATCCCATTGATGAGTTTGGAGGCCTTGATGGCTTTGCGAAGCGGGGTCCCAGGAAAGTCAATAGGCATCGATATGACTCCGGCGTTAGCCAGATACAAAGAGTGGCCCAGTTTGTCTATGTCCTTTTGGTCCTCGAGGCTAAGAAACAAACGTGCAGCGATCGCCAAGGTGTAGCTGCAGTAGTATTATGTATACACATGTAATAAAGCAATAATAATAGCATTTACATGCTGTATATATGTGTGTTTGTAAGATAATTGATTAATTAGAAAGTATATTTGTGAGATAATTGATTAAGTGAATTGTTATTAACACTTCAAAAATGTCGTTTGGCACTCCAAGAATACATTTGTGAGGAGTGTAGAATGAGATTTTTGTATATCCATCATTGCCGCATCTTTAAGTATATTTTCCCATCTGTGAGTTGTTGTACGAAGCTCTCAACGTATGCAGGGATGGAACTAGAATATTTTTTTAGCAGGATTGACCTTAACCTCCAGACTAGAGTAAAAAAAAAGGGGATGACAGAGAATGTCTTCTATAATAAACTTGCTTTTCTTTTCTCCTCAAGTTTCATTAAGTCAACTTCTAGACATCTTTTTTTTGGAAAATTTTATTTTGAATCCATATAACCTTACTCTACACCCAACTTAAATTTCAAATGTAATTTTTCTTTTTATCCTATTATTTAATTACTATCAAGTACAAGATGAAAATAACAATAAAATTAAAATTTATTAATAAACCCACTAATAATATTGTGGCTCTTGAAAATGATTAAAAATTATTTGATCAATATATGTTATATTTTAGATTAAAAAAAAACAACATAACTATATTGCAGTTGCAGAAATAGACTTGATGCTCCGCACATTCATTAGAGATCAACCAAGAACTTGTAGGTTGCAATAATGAAAACTAAAGCTCAATCAAGATTGAACACAATATTTGGGTAGAGTAGAAACAAAAAGTAGTTTGATTAGTGATCAAGCATGCCTTACAACAGAAAAAACAATAAAACCAAGAATCATAACTTGCGAAGATCAATCCAAGCTTTCTTCGCAATAGCATCGATTGGACAACAGGGAGAGGTTGAGAATAGATTGGACAACATGGAAAGGTTGTCCAATCAATCATTGACAGGAAAATTTGGTATCGAGTTACACAAACCTACTTTGTATTAAGATTGAATGAGTTGCAGAACATTCATGGATGAAATGTCATTAGAGAGAGACTACAATATGTGAGTGATGGATTAGTCAAATAAGCCGATGAACCAGTTACACCTTTGGATGATCACTCACATATTGTTGTAAACCTCATTGATTTGATTGCTCTTTTCACGCCTTAAAAGAATTGCAAGACATGATCTTAGGTTTTTATTTTCTAAATGGGTGTAAAGATAAATTTACATATTGAATTGGATTTGTGAGAGTAGTTTAGGTGATAAATTTGGGTTTAAACTTTAAAGAGATATTGATAGTTTAATGAAAAAAAAATATGAATGTAGAAAGTAAGTTGGGTGTAAAAAAAAAAAAGTTACATGGGTTCAAATATTTTTTTTTCTCTTCACAATAGTAGCGTATTATAAATACTACTTGAATATTTGAACTACTAAGTTAAAGTACTTAAATATAAAAAGTTTGTTATAAACTTCCTATTAAAGTGTGATTGTGTAAATCCTAGATTAGATTTGATTCTAGTTATCACTTTCTATTACAACTTGTATTCCTTGGGGATGAATGATTCCTTCCCCCTTATTACTATAAATAAAGGCACTACATATGAGGGATAACACATACATTCCCCTACAATTCTACAAATACATATCTTTCTCTACTTCCTCTCTTTACCACTGGCCCCCTTCCCCTTGTCAATTAAAATAGGCTATAACATGTTATCAACACGCTTCTACCGCTGCGCTTAGGAATTTGATGAAGAGATTTTCTGCATCAAACCACTTCATCCATACAATCACACAATCAGGTTTTTCCAAAACAACGTTTTTATCTTGATATTTTTGCAGCCCTGATAGATTGTGTATGCATTATATTCATAATTGTTGAATTATGTGAATTCAATATTTGCCATGAATTGCATTAAATATATGTACATGCATTATATTATTGAATTAAATATGCATATAATTGAATTTCATAATCTGAAGAAAACAAAAAAAAACAAAACACAATTTTTTTTTTGGTTGAAATTGCCATATGGTTTCTTCAAACCCGTGACCCCGAGCAAACATGGAGCATCCAGCTTCTTTGGAACCTGACACCTATAGCATCCAAACCTAGAAAACCCACCTCGCCTGAAGCAAGACCACGACCTTGCCGTCCAATTTTTTGACTAAATTTGACATGGTGTCGCGATTTTTGATCCAATATCATTGAAATTCTTGAAGAATTTCATTGAATTTGGGTGAAATTCCAGTTTAAATTTCATAGGAGATTTCTTTTGTACATGCATAATTTATGGAGATTTCTTTGCTTTCATGTACCTCTGTTTTTTTAGGTACATGTGTCTCATCAAGGATATGTTCTTTTTTTGAAAGTACAGAATCATGAATTGTGGATTTGTCATTCATTTTCTCTTCTTGAATGATTTCATTTGGATTCAGTTGTGCCCTCGACTTTCTTTTTCGAGGGGCTAAATCTTTTGAATCTAGGGGTCTACCACGCTTCAGGCGTGCACCAGATGAATTATTCGTTGCCACTTTATTTTGTCCAACATGGACATCAATTCTTGCAGGTGCATTTAGAACTGGTATATGTGATTTTGTCACTTTCATAGCATCATTAAATGCATCTGGCATTTGATTGGCAGTACTTTGAAGATGAACGATTTTTTTCACTTCATTTTCACATTGAATGCTTTGAGGATCAAAATGAGACAAGGTGGGTACAACCCATGTCAGCTCTTGCCGTTCTTCTGGAATGATCTTTTCTCCCCCTAACGACGGGAATATTGTCTCATCAAAGTGACAATCAGCAAAACGAGCTGTAAACATATCACCTGTCAGGGGTTCCGAATATCTAATGATAGATGGTGAATTAAAACTCACATAAATTCCTAGTTTACGTTGAGGTCCCATTTTAGTGCGTTGCAGCGGTGCAATAGGCACATAAACAACATAACTAAAAACTCGTAAATGTGAAATGTTTGGTTGATGTCAAACACGAGTTGTACTGAGGAGTATTGGTGGTTGGCTATAGGTCTCAATCGAACCAATGATGCAGCATGTAAGATGGCATGTCCCCATGCAAAACTTGACAATTTTGTTTTCATGAGCAGAGTGCGAGCTATTAACTGAATCCACTTAATCAATGCCCAATGTCATACAATAATCATCAAAAGTTTGAGACGTAAATTCACCAGCGTTATCAAGTTGGATTGACTTAATAGGGTAATCTGAGAACTGTGCTCGTAATTTAATTATCTGAGCAAGAAGTCTCGCAAAAGTTACATTCTGAGTAGACAAGAGACAAACATGTGACCATCGGGTAGATGCATCAACCAAAACCATAAAATATTGAAATGGTCCACAGGATGGTTGACTAGGCCCACAAATATCCCCTTGAATTCTTTGCAGAAATGATGGGGATTCAGCATCAACCTTTAGTTGTGATGGTCTAATTATCAACTTCCCTTGAGAACAAGCCTTGCAATGGTTATCATTTGAGATAGCAATGTGTCTACTCAATAATGGGTGTCCATTAGAGTTGGTAATGATTCTATGCATCATGCCATGTTTACTTTCAGCGCAATCTACTGTTGCTTCCAATCAAGTACCTCTGCTTATTCTTTTTGATCAATTTTTCTCTGATTCTCATTGTGGATTTGCCTTTACACCACTGAAATATAATGGCATCAACGCTATCTTGAAGAGGATTGAAGACCATGCAATTGTTTCTAGTATTATGTCCGCAAAGATTAGTGCCTCATATTCTTTGGGTTTTGTTTTTCACAACTTGTTTTTCTTTCGAGATAATGGTTATACTCTTCAACGGTATATACTTTCTTTTAACATCTGACGGAATTATGTTATTGTACTTCTATTTGCAAAGGTTATTCATTTATCTAGCCTTGCTGTTTATGTTTATAACTTCCAATGGGATTTCAATGAATATACTGAAATGGTATTTGTTCTGTGCATTTCATTCCTTCTAGCACACTTTCAAACCCATTCGCAATTCATTAACTGCTTCATTTTTGTATGTTAGAGGCTTAGAGCTATTAATGCTACTGGTTATGTAAATGTGACTAGAAGAGATATCAGTGCATGGTTTAACTTGTTCCTCTCTTTTGTTAAACTACAGACAGGACCCCTTGCTGCTTATTGTAAGCTATCTCTCAATCACGTGCTTGTGGTACTTTCTTCTTCTGGCTTTTAAGTTTTTTTTGTACGCATAGCATCTTTGTATAGCTTTATAGTATTTATTTATTCTTTTATGTAGTTTCATGATGATATGACCTTACCGTGTGGGGTACTTCGTCTTTACGTACCCAACGGAGGTCATGTATACCACAATGGGTATGATCAATTTTTTTACTTTCGAGTTTTAAGCAGTTATGCATCTATGTGATTAAGCAATGATGAAAAGTGTCTTGCCAAAAATGTTAGAACCTGCTTAGACACTGGTGTTAACGTTGGTATAATCAAGTAGAAGAATCGTTGGTGAACTAATTATATAGGAGCTGCATATTAGGATGGCTCCTTTGTTATTACTAGACCATCACTACTTCTACCCTGAAGAATAAAGACCATGATTATGCGGTGTTACCAAAATTATTATGGTCAAGCTTCCCTTTTTCAGGCTTATCAACCAATTAAGCACTCGTATAATTACTGAAAATGTATTAATTTTCATCCCCCTCTTGCATGGCATTTCAATTTTGCGTTTTTCTGCTTTCAAACTTAAGGAGAATATGTGGAAGACCGGTACATATCACTGGATTTTGTTTTGTTATTCAGGCTGAAGAGTGTGATCTATCACTTTCGAGGGAACAGAGAATTTCCTCGGCTAAGAATCGGTGAGTTTGAATCTCCAAATTTCATGAGTTTGAATGATCTCTTCCCAGTACTTGAAAGCATGTTGAATATCTTGCCAGGTATCGGGAGGCCACCAGGTCAAATGGATCCAAAAGCATTCTTGCTGCAAAAATTTAATGCAACAGCTCGAAGACGAGTGATTATATGGTGGGTGGTTGTGTGTTTGTCTCAGATAAACATTTCTTACGTTCACGACATCCATATTCTTAGTTTGTTTCTCCGACTGTATAACAACGATCACCAGATGGCTTAAAATTTATAAAAAGTATATTTTGAATGATTCTACCACCGTTTGCTTGTTATTTACCGTGGATAAGACGTTAATTAAGGAGGTGCTACTAGTATTGATGGTGTGCCTCTTTGACTAGATTGATTCTGTTCTGAGTCGAAGAATCTCGCACTTTCTAAAGACTTCGTACAAAGTGCGAGATGCTTCAGTTCAAAGTAGAAATACAAGCACCTAAGATTAGAAACCTTGCCAACATGAATTTATACAGTAACGTTTGTAAATGAGTAAATGGTTTTCTTTCGGGATCACTCTTGGGTTGTGATTGCCAGAATATTCATATGGAAATTCAACAGTCGGTGGATTTATAAACAAGAGGGCGCATGCGTGTTAATCCGTGTGATCGATTAGCAGCAATATTACTTTAGTCTAAAGAAGGAGGCGAAATTGCACTGTAGAAATAAACAGTGTTTTGGACCACATTTCAGTTTATTTACAGGATTGCCACTCGGTGGCTTTTAATACACTTTCATTTTATTTACACAATTACCACTCAGGCTTAAGAACTGATTTTCAACCGTTTGCTGCATTTCAGCTTTTGACTCGGGCAGAGAGGGGAGGGGGATATCACAGCTGACAGATTGGATAGAGATGATGACTCCCATTTTTGACTCGGAGACAGCTGGGTGTCGCTGTGTCGAGCGAAGAGAGGGGGACAGAGCGACTACAGAGCAGGGAGACACATGGCCTGCATTTCAGCTTTGACTCGGGGAGAGAGAGGGGAATGGGACATCACGGCTGACGAATTTGAGAGAGATAATGGCTCCCATTTTTGACTCTGAGACAGCTGGGTGTCGCTGTGGCGAGCGGAGAGAGGGGGGCAGAGCGACTACAGAGGAGGGAGACACAGGCCCTGACAGATTGGAGACGGATGGGAGCTACGGATTTGGATTGAGTGAGAGAAAGATTTTGCTAGCTCATCTGCCAGGATCTATGGGATTTTCTCCCATTTTAGAGAGAGAGATACAGAGCGGAAAGCATGGGTGTGTGTATTCTTTAGGGTTGACGGGTTACGCAGAGTCGGTGAGGAAGGGATGCCTCAGGGACGAATGGCAGGGTCTGGCCTTCATTTATGTAGCTCGAGAGCTTCGGTGAGATGAAGGAGAGGAGCAGGGAGATGGGCTCGAGTGGGCGAACGGCCGAAGAGATCTTCAGGGATCACAGTGGTCGGAGAACTGACGCCGTCCACGATTTAACTAACGGTACTCCGATCTCTCTCTCTCTCACTCTCCTCCGTTTCTCTCTCTTGATTTCCTTTTGGTTTTGGAAATCTCTGACGTTTTGGGTGATGTTGTTTTCTCATGTGGACAGAGAGAGAGAGGTCGAGCAAGGTTTCGTCCATTTCGGTCAACTTGGGCTACCCCCTAACGTTCGGTAAGGTATCAATCTCTTCCTGGTTTTCGCTTTGATTTCTTTTATGGAAGGTATAAGCTTTCTTTAATCATACAATCAGATTGCCCTTAATTATGCTTTCACTATATTTGACTGTTGTAGTCCTCTTTCAGCTACTCAAATGACACAATAAAAATCCCAAGAAAAATTTTCTCACTCTGTAATTTTCCTCAGATCCCTCTCCGATCTCTTCTCTCGCATATGTCGTCTTACTCCACCGTTCACATCAGGAAGGCCCGTGCATGGTTTTTTGGGTGGGGATTTCAAATTTCAAGGGGGAGAGAGGTTGTGCTTCGTTTCAATCAGGCCAAGCCTCTATCTGCAAATCGAGGCCCAGGTGAAGCATAAGCATTACAGGCCTGCAGTAAATTCTAGGTCACCTCCTCTGTCTCCGATAAGCTCTCCTATGTACGTAAGTATTAAAAGAACGATTTCCAATATTTAATTTCACCATTTTCTCACACTTCCAGTTGATTGTCCCTCGAATTTGCAGGGAAAGAAGAAGGAAGGAAATGCCGCGAGGTATGTCACCAGGTCACAAGCTGTCAAGCAGCTTCAAGTCAGTCTTCCCTTCTTCAGGTTTGTCTCTGGTATTCAAGTTGTAATTTCTGTATTTTCACATGATTTATGTAATTTATGTTAATCTAGGGTTTAGGGTTTGTGCATTATTCGGATTTATCGGTTGAATTATTGTATGATTGCTTAATATATGTGCATGCTGTTGGAAATTATAGGAAATTGTGTATTCTAAAGGGCGTGTTCCCCTGGGAGCTGAAGAAAAAGGTGAAAGGAAATCACCATACCTATTATCACTTGAAGGATGTTTCTTTCATTCAGCATGAACCGCTACTCGAGCAGTTGAGAGAGATAAGAGCATACGAAAGAAAAGTAAAGAGAGCCGATGCGAAGAAGAACAAGGAACGAGCTGCTCTCCTGAAAGAAAGAAGACCCACTTACAAATTAGATAGAATTATTTTGCAGAGGTTTGTTGGGTTTTTCTTACTATTAAAAAATTAGTTGTGTGTCTGTTATTGTATGTAGGGCCTCTGACAGTTGTTGTTTGGTATGTTTGGAACTGCAGATGTCCAAAATTCATTGACACACTTAGAGATATAGACGACTGCCTCAGCTATTGAGGACAGAATTGATGTCAAACGCATTCATAACTGTCGAAGGTATATTTGAATTTTTCTAAAAAAAGGAGTTCTGAAGTATGAAATGATGCTTAGTTACTTCTAGGAGTTAATCGTTTCGTGGAATCTTCCCTTAATATTGGTGTTGCTTTCATACCAGGTTGAGTCATGAATGGCAAGCTTACATATCTTGGACTCATAAATTGCGTAAAGTCTTTGTATCTGTTAAAGGCATATATTATCAGGTTTGGTTATGTACTGTACACTGCTTATCAAATCTTCAACTGTGCATTTTATGTTATTGTGTTATTTGGTTATGAATTCTTCCGTTGTTTATCCATGTAGGCAGAGGTTAAGGGGAAAAATGTCAGATGGTTGACCCCTCACCCTTTGCACCAAGTTTTGACTGATGATATTGATTATATTTCGTACTTTGTATTTCTTTTTGTCCGTTATCAACCTCTGTTCGATTCTGGAGTGGGAGTTTGATAAAGAATGTGACTTTGAGATGACAGAGTTTTTGAAATTGTGTTGTGGCCATGTGTGAAGCTAAATGATGCAACCTTTGATCTCTCCCATCTGAATAAAGCTAAATTTTTGTATTAAAATGTTATAATATTCAAATGTATACTAAGTTTCTCGGTAGCCAAAATAGACCCTTTACATGATTTTGTCTAGAATTCGTTTAAAGATTTAAAATTTCTCTTCACTCTGTTAATGGGTTTAATTTTTCCCCATCTGTTTTGCAGTTTGAGTCTACTGAGTTCTGCGGATTCACTCAATTGCAATCATCTCTTCTGCAAGTAATCTCTACCTTCATTATTATTCGCATATGAATGTTAGGTTTTATTTAGATGTATTAATACTTGGAATGTGCTTGATCATATTGCCAGTGTTTGCTTATTTTTTACAGCACTTGCACCATGAAGTCAATGAAATCGGGTTCCATTTGTCCAGTTTATAAAATTCCATATCGACGCAGAGGTATGAATCATGATAATTTTATGTGTGCAATGATCAATTGGCGATGATACATCAATCTTTTGTGTTTCAGTTTCTTTTGTGTTTGTGTAACTGATCCTGGGATGTTTGTTGCAGGCACTGGGAAGACGACTCTGTCTACGCATCATAATCGGTAACTAATTGGATTTGATGAGCACTGCTGGAGCAACAATGTTATGTCAAACATTGAAGGTGGTTGCTATGCCAAATGCATTGATTTGTCAAAGAACTGGGAACCAGATATTTGGAATGCTATCAAATTTGGGACTGGTACTTAACATCATGATTTAATTGAACATTCTACTTTAAAAATGACAGTTAGTGGGAAATGTTTATGTTCTGTGTCATGATTGGAGTGATATTTCAAATTCTTATCAAATATGGTTGCATGTGTTTGGCAGTTTTGGAGAATGTTGTGTTCGATGACCATAATTGAGAAGTTGATTACTCAGAGAAATCTGTTACTGGTAAGTAATTTAAATTCTGGGGTATTCAGTTGAAAGTTTTAATTTATAGTTTTGTTTAGTTTTTTATTTATTTATAATTTTGGTATTTTGTTTCTGTTTGATTATATTGAATTCGGATTTTAGTGAACTTATGTTTGGGCTTGATATTTTCCTACAGGTTGTGATTGAGGGAGCTTGAAATGGCAGTTGGATTTCACGTCGTTGGTAAGGAAGACCTTCTCCCTCTCTCATTTCCATGCTAATCATTCCAATTTTCATTTTTGTGTCGAATTCTAAATTTTAGAATCAGGGTTTAGATGAGAACCATGTGTTACACATTTGGGATTTTGAGTATAGTTAGTATTTCATATTTTCCCTCTTTTTTTTTTTTTAGAGATAATCAACTATTATTAAGCTGTTTTGGTAGTGATTAGAACTTCCTTTAGAATAATGAATCAAGTGATAGAGAGATAAGCTAATCGAAACAGTTCAAATATGAAGGAAAAAAGGTTTTGCTTTTTTAAGGTTTCAATTTTTTTGAAGTTTAGAGGCTTATGTCAATCTATAACAATTGTTTGAATGGTTGTATCTAAGTATGCATTATACATTCAATTGAGCCGATGATGCATGTGTGCCAACAAATTTTGAAGAGTTCGGCTTGGTTTCTCTCTTTGGTCTTTAACATGAAAAGTGAGGCACCTGTTTGTTGACTAATTGAGTCCCTTCTCCAAGTTTTTTAGTATAGATTGGGTCACTGTAATTTGCTTTTATGAGCACATCTGTGACTAAAGAAAATTTAAGCCGTCAAGTTCCCAAAATGTCTAAGGATATAACAAGTTTAACAAGTCACGAACTGTGATCAATCGAAATGCAGTGAAATTAGGGATTTTACACTAAAAAACTCAGTTAACTTTAGACCATAGGATTAGCATTTTGCACATGTGAGTATCATTAACATGCTCATTTTATTTTTTTGGATAAGAAACAAACTGTCATTGAAGGGAGAAGACACTGTACAAAAACAAAGTTTATGTAAGATTTATATACGTGAGATCTTTGTTGCCATAGTTTTTACTTGCTATAGATATTGGGTCATAGTGGATAGCTGGGATAACCTCACAATAAGTATGTATTTTTCTTCTATATAATCAATTCTATAGCTGTTGTTTTTTCCTAATCCATATTTGCATTCTACATGTTATCTTTGTGACTGGCTTATCAAGTCACTAAGCAGCAAGTGCATGTGTTGTTTTTAATTTTAGTCAAATGGAACAAACTAATGGTCTAAGAGATTGCCTAAATGGATCCTAGAATAGTAAAAAATGCATAAAAGTTTGAAATAAATTGAGATCCAATATTATGAGTTGATTATTAGTACCATACATAAAACAAGGGAGTTCTTGATTCAAAGGTGAACCATTCCATGAAATTATGATATTCTGAACAATGAATGTGTTTTCAGTTAAACAAGAAGCTAAAGCGTAATCAAAGGATTTGTTGACCTATTGTGGAAGGTGAGATGCCAACTTTGTTTCCCAATGCTTATCTTTTATGGAAATTTTAATATTTTATATTTTGAAACTCTAAACTGATTGTCCTTCACGCGTTTTATGTAAATAGTGACACATCTATGCACAAATGATTACAATCAGTTCATCGAAATCTTGGTTATTTAAATTCTTAAGAGATGCCTATGTTGATTTGTGATTTTGTTGCCCTGTGTTTTACTTTGTTGGTTGGCAAGAAGCATGTTCAGTTGATTCAATTTATTCTTTTACTTTCTCTGACAAAGCAATCCTTTGCAGTCCTTTGGTATCTGGTGCGCTACATGCAATTGCATATGTGTGAGAGACTTTTTAAATTAGATGCACTACACGCTTCTTACGGATTTTATAACATCAGATTCTTATTCAGTTGCTATTTTAAATTTGGGCTTCCGTTTGGTTGAGCATCCTTTTCTCCAAAAGGTAACATTGTTTCTAATGCCTAATCAAATTTTGATTTCTTGGGTCATTACAATTTATGTAGTTTTGTAAAGAGAAATTTTTTACAAGTGCAAACAACTGTCATATTTTATTTTGAATTCTGAATATGCCAAGAGAACCATATAATTATAATAGTTGAGCAGTTACCGTAAATCTTTTTGTGACGTTTTTTAATGGATATATTATTCCATTGTTTTCAGGGGATGGACAGAAGTCCCCGGCAGCAATCTCTTTGTGATCATTGCTGGGATAATATCGTGGTCATTTTGAGTTCGAATTCAGCTAGCATGTGGTAAGCGTTTCTTTTTCGATTACTTTCATTTGTTTATTTGTGAATCAATAACTTTTTTAGGAATAATGATTGTCACAATTGCTGATAAATTGAGACTTTGTTCGGAGCTTGAATTGTAGATCTGTGCAAGCTATCCATATATGGATCAATGCTATGGACTCTTCTCAACCTATGGACCTCAAATTTCAGTGCGTCTTCCATCATTTATCCTACCTGACTATGTATGGAGCTATTACATTTGCAATCATATTAATTCCTTGAAAACAATATTTATATTTCTTTGTAAACTACTAATTTTGGAATATACTATCGTTTTCGTGCTGGTACATTAAAATGAAAATATGAAAAGTAGTCTCAATCTTCTGAGGAAGAGAGGTGTTGGGTGTCTGAGACAAGGGGTTTCAGGTTAGGGAACCAAAACGTTCAGTTTCGTCCTATTCATTGTACAATGTCTTTTCAAGTTAGCTCAGTTGAATGTATATAAAAACGAAGATGCATATCTTACCGATTTCATTCACTCATCTATCCCTTTCTTAATTTATGATTGTGTTGAATTTATTCAGGTAAAATGTATCTTATTCATGCAATTCAAGGTGATGCATTCAAGTCCCGCAGCAACGCGCGGGCACATTTTCTAGTAGTGTTCTAACAACTTACCATCCAAGTATTATCCTTCGTTTTGAGATGATTTTTTTGTACTATAAATGGAACCCATCAGCTTTAAATTTCATCCGTGAAGGTAGAGAAACTTGCAATTGGATCCTCTCCTGAGCAGGAGATCAGGATCCTTTTGATCTACTAACATGGATCGTTAGATTTTTATCCAACAGTTACAATTATTATAATTTTTAGAAGAGTTCCCTGTTTGTAATTGTTGAATCAAAATCCAACAACCCGTGTTAGTGACTAAGGTGAATCCTAATCTCCTGCTCAGGAATTCCGAGAAACTTGATCTCAGACCCATCAATTTCTCAAAGTTTTGCCGGGGAGTGGGAAGTAGCAAGTCTCAGTGTCTCTGTCTCATTACTAGGGGTTGGGATCAGGTGTATGCGGTGCATGATTTAATCGTGAACAGAGAAAAATCAAGATCGTTGATTATGCGAAGACTTGGGAGTGGCACTGGCTGGTTATAATTTTTATTTAAAATTTTCTTCTGAAAATATAATATAGAAAATAAAAGAAAAAGGTGGCTGAGTGCTCTGCGGGTCCTACCTTTAACCATCCTCGCTGTCCTTTGCTGCTTCACTTCATGATTCAAACTCCCACACTCCCACGCGCATTCAACTAAGGTTAGTCTAAAACTCTCCTACACGCGGTGTAATTGAAAGAAATATAGAGAACTGAAAGTATAAACAAAAAAGCAAAAGGTTGTATGTTTGTAAGTAATTAAGATGATTAACTCATGCATTCAAGGTCTTTTGTTCAATAAGTGAATAAATTGATTAAAATCAATGACTGAAAGTCGTCATATAAGTGCGCAAGTTACTATTATTTTTTCGTAATTCAACTAATAAGAAAATTATAACTATAGAAATTAGTAAAATTTTGAGATATACATTAAATGTAAGAACTCCAGTACCATGAAACAATAAAAGTAAAAACATTGTGAGTGCACTAAATTGAGATCAAAATTTTAAACCAAATTTTGTAAATAGTTGTTAATGATTTAATTATTACTCAACTGTTGTTGATTAACATTCTTTTTTTCAAACCTATGCCGTCATGCAAAAGTGCAACATATTTCCACTACTATAATAAAGGGTCACTTGCTTGTTGATTAATATTCTTATTTTCTATTGGTGAAACATCATTTTATTTACAAATCTGTTTAAAAATTTAGTCTGCTTAATATTATCATTTTTTTAGTAAGGTCATCAAGTCGAGTCATTCATTCGATTCAACAAGAAATCACTCAGCTACGCCATCGACACGTGAGGCTGAATTAACCAAAAGCAGCAGACAACGATATTTTTGTTAGTGAGATAGTGGAGCCTAAGAATATCACTCAGCTACCCCCTCAATTAATATAGCACTAATAATGCGAGTGGTGTTAAAGCAATAGAGTGGTGCGTGAGAGTGTATATTCAGCTGCCTATTAGAATATTATTACAACAAAACCCAGCACTGTGTGTCTCGGCTCTCCATCTCTCATCTCTCTCTCTATCTCTCACCCCCCATCCTCAATACCAAACAAATTAAAGATGCAAAACTAAATCTACCTACACACACAGACACAGCATCTTAAAACCTCACAGAAGTAAGAAAAACAAGATCAGGTTCTCAAACTATCAAAATCTCCATTTGTATTCGCATTCGATCCATTCCTACTCAGAAGAAGAAAAAAACACTGAAAAAGCTTTACAATGAGGAACCCATCGCCTTCGTCGAAAGCAGCAGCAGCAGCAGCAAGTGCTAAGATGCAAACGACGATAACAGCGTCGTCCTCGTCTAGCAAGGCGGCTGGGGTTGCTGGAGGGACCAAGACGCCGTGTTGCGCAAAGGTGGGTTTGAAGAGAGGGCCGTGGACTCCCGAAGAGGACGAGCTGCTGGCAAATTACATCAAGAAAGAAGGGGAGGGACGGTGGCGGACCCTTCCCAAGCGGGCTGGGTTGCTCCGCTGCGGTAAGAGCTGCCGCCTCCGCTGGATGAACTATCTCCGCCCTTCCGTCAAGCGCGGCCAGATCGCCCCCGATGAAGAAGATCTCATCCTTCGCCTCCATCGCCTTCTGGGCAATCGGTACATTCACACACACACTACATTTGTTAGATTTCAGATAAACTAATTTGTCGCGATTTTCTTCGACAAACAATATCCATATATCCACCCTACAAATTTATCACCATTTTATTACATGTTTGGGTTTAGGGTTTCACTGTTGATATCCATTATATAAAATTTAGGGTTTAATTAATTTGGATGTGTGCAGGTGGTCTTTGATAGCTGGGAGGATTCCAGGCCGTACGGACAATGAGATAAAGAACTACTGGAACACACACCTGAGCAAGAAGCTGATAAACCAAGGCATAGATCCCAGAACCCACAAGCCTCTCAATCCAGATCATCACTCTGCTGCTGATGATGCTGACCTGGACAACACAAACAAATCAACTGCTGTTGCTTCTTCTTCCAAAGCCAATGATCGGTTCTCAAACCCTAACCCTAGTCCCCCTTCTGATCGTCTTGTCCATAAAGAAGGGGATCCAAATAACAGCCGTAATGGTGGAAACATCGCAATTGATGATCATGATCAGGGCACTATAGTCCATGGCTATGCAAATATGATCACGTCCATCAACAATCCCGATGCTTCTTCTTCGGCCACGGCAACGGGTACTTTGAGTTTGAGGAGCAACAACAGCCACGGTGGAGTACTACTTGGGGGAGGAGGAAATGAAGAGGACGACGACATCAACTGTTGTGCGGACGACGTCTTCTCTTCGTTTCTGAATTCGTTGATCAATGAGGATCCATTTCATGGACAACACCAATTGCAACAAGTACTGCAGAATGGGAATGTGAGTGCACACGCAGCTGCTGCTGGTTCCGAGAACCTTCCTTTGATTACTATGACTGGTGCTAGTACTACGGCGCCATCAACATTTGGCTGGGAGTCTGCTGTGCTCATGTCTTCTGCTTTCATCCAAAATGATCACCAGAGGGTTAATGATCCAACGGAGTAGCAGCTAGCCACCTGTTTGATTGATCAATCGCACTGTGCATGTTTAACAAGCAATGCAGTTGCTTAATTAGTTAATTTATATGTAGAAATTAGTCCTAGCTAGGGTTTGAAATATCATATGAAATGTGATTTTGTGTGTGCTATCTCTATTCTTAATTATTCGACTACCCCAACATCGCTCTACGAATGGGGTCGTATATCAATGTATTGTCGATCACGTTTGTAATATCATCTATCTATCTATATATGTTACCGGTATTGTAAAACAAGCATAAATTTGATCAATGTTAATTAATTTGTATTTAGAAGTATGAAGAGTAATTTATGCGTGAATCAATTTCATGTTTTATACATCTACCACATTTATCACTTTGCATACACATATAGGGTTTGTAACCCTGATGATAAATGCACAAAAGAGCCCCGTGATTATAATTTAAACACTTTGCATGCATACATCCATACAGTGTAAGATGCTTAATTAAAGTTAATCTTCATGGAAGGAAATTATATATCTGTTCATTCTTTCTAAAGTGTGATCTTCACCGCATGCACAAGTTCATGGAGGGGGAGCGATATGTTAATTCAATGAACAAGAAGGTGCAAAATATCCCGAAAGTTCTTAAACAGTGAAGCTTTCACTTTACATTCATTATCAATATTGGGACTAAATCTATTCTTTGATGTTTATATCTCATATATATACTAATTAGAAACTAATGATCTATGACAATCAGATATACATATATAGATGACATGAACATATAAAAATCTTCTTTTCTTAAATCCCAAATAAATCTTGTACTAATGTTTTTTGGTATATCTGCTTTCATTTTGTGCACAAGCGTGGTAAATATTTGACATCTTTCTGAAATCTTATTACATGTAGCATATGATGCATTTGGGAGATAAAAGACTAGTTCTACAACCATATTTTAAACAAATTGATCGTTGAGGGTAAGTATAAAAAATGAGTAAATGAAGCTAGATATGAATCCAAAATACGTTACAAGGCAAAGATCTTGCATGCATAAAAGGTTATAATCATTGTAGTTATTAAGATGTCACATTCACAATCTAAATCATCAAAAACATTTGAGGTGATAATAAAAACATGAAACGTAGTAGTGTTTATCATTTCCTTATACACAACTAGCTCCAAAAACTTAAACGGTTAGGATAGGGAATATTGCAACAATGTATCAAGGTTATAGACACAACTACTGATGTAAAATGAACAAGAGAAAGAGAAAGAAAGATTAAAAAGTTCTTATAAATGAAAGATCAATGCATGGTATTAGTTAGAAATATGTTTTGGTGCAAACTTTAGTAGTGAGCTCGTATTCTTGCTTTCTATTAGGTGAATAACCGTTTAATTTGAACATAAGTACTCAAACCTGTTCATACATATACACCTTAGAAGACATTAATTTTATTAAAGGCTTGAAGTTCTAACCGTATACATAACTTTAAACTCAAGCTAGTTATACTACGAAAAATCTGGGGTTAATTAAGCCACTGTTACTGATTCCTAAAACCACTGATAGCTGTGGCGATAGGCCAATTGCCACAGGCCAGGCTACATATCAATATGAAAAGGTACTTAGCATATATAACCTTGTGATCAACTACTTTATGAATAATTCGTCTGTTTTCTATTCTGGTATGCATTTTTATAGCCATTTGTCTATTTGAAATAGTGTGCATGTATTTTTGGGCATTAGTGTACTATCGTAATCTATCCCTATACATCTATGTGTTTGAGTGAAGTAGGTATTGTGAAGGTAACTGAGAAAACTAAAGATGGAAGCTATAGGAAACAAAAATGGCATTCAGAATACCCAGGTTGAAGATTCTCAAAGCCTATAACATAGGGACTTAAATATAAAGCGACAGTTAAATTGCCATGAGTTTGAGTGGTCGAGGGTAATTGATAGGCAAAGGTGGTATTTGTTAAAGCAGCACTCATATATATTTGAGAATTATACTGTGGTGCTGAAATATATCTCTTTCGTAGTAAAAATGCTAAATGCTAAATGATTTGCAGCATGAACATTTCCAGAACAGTATATTTTTGGGGTGTTCTAGAACATTTGGTATGCAGATTGTGTTTAGATAGAATTAGTAGGCAGTATGCTAAGTCCATGGACGATATATGTAGGTTCTCAGCAAACACCAATTAATCGAGAAGCTATATAATTAAGTCATCGTGCAATATTATGCAATATGCATACATGTCAAGGATGAAAGTCACTTACTCATAGCAGAACATGATATAATTCTTCACTGTGTAGACTTGATCATCTGTGGAACAAGATTTTGTTGATTACTTTCAATCGGTCTCCCTCCCAACATTAAACTGATGCGATCGTCGTGTGAGCTTCCTGCAGAACCATGCATGGAGAATAAAACGAAATCAGTGGAGTACACGCCCTTGATGCATATATGCATGTTAATCATATGCTAACCGTTGGATAACATCAACATGTTCGTTCTACTTATTTAAGATAGAAGATAGCTCACACACCTGACTAATGGCTTATTGCACCCTATCTCCCTCTATGACATCTCGTATATTTTATCATAGCTAGAACAATGTTAGGGAGGCCAAAATTTTAAACTAAATGATGTGTCACCAATAGAAAATAAACATGCTAATCAACACAAAGTCATAATCCAATCATCAACATTCATATCGTTTGGTTTACAAAATTTGGTTTAGAAATTGATTAATTATAGGGATATTAAATTTGTAAACTTAGTGACATGAAAATTGATAATTGGATTAATACCTAAGCGTTGGTAAATGTGTTTATTTCTTATTGGTAATACATAATTTAGTTTGTAAATTTTGTTTACAAATTTAACCTTTCTAGCATCACTCTTAAAAATTTAATATCCCTAATATTACCTTTTATTTCATAATAGAGCAATGACACGACAAGTTTACCCCTCACCGCCTCAAAGCTTACACCTCGTTTTCTGAGACCCTAAATAACTTAACCTACATCTTCGCTTCTAAAAGCATATATTGTTTATAGATTTACAATAGATATATTACAACAATTAAAATCCTAACTTTTATTTTTGTTGATAAAAAGCCTAAATATTTTCACGAGCATCTCCTCTAACCATGTGGTCTCACAAACTTCATGTCTTTTAATATGAGCTATAAAATTAGTTGGGTTGGGTTGTGTTTAGATGAGGGACAAAGTATCAAGGCATTAAGGCTAAGTTAGTAAAGAACAAAACTATAAACCGTTACATAAATGCTATGTTTGCGTGAGGGATTTCCAAGTTATAAGATTAAAAGCCAAATTACAAAGAAAAAGATAACAAAATGTTGGATAGGAAGGATTAGCTAATCCATATATCATTTATAAATCTCTCTTACATGTCTTTGTAATGCTCTACGTATGGTACATTTCCTAATCCATTATATCCAACATTTTGTGATCATTCTGTTTACAATTTGGCTTTCAATCCCATGACTTGGAAATCCCTTACCCAAACTTTGCCAAAGGGTATTACAAATGCAATCCATGAGAATTACGCACACATATATATCTTCATAATGATTATGCAGTACTTTTTTAATCCCGTTGAGGCACATGCAAGCATTTTATTTCTACTATCCTATAATAATTTTTGAAGAATTTAACCTGGTGGAGTTGGAGCTCTAGCAAACTGGAAGGGAAGGAAACAGAAGCCTACCTTGGTATTGGGTATGTGGCCTGATTTTAACTGCCATTGAATTCTAAATGGGCCGTTAGACATTTAGCCCTGAGGACCATTGTGGTGTGACCTCTTTTTTATTTATTTTTTTATTTTTTTAATTTTTTTTTTTTTCCACCCCACCCCACCCACACAGGCCTCGATCCTGGGACATAATCTACCCCACCCCTTACCCACTCCGGCACACCCTCACCACTAGGCTATTCCTAGTGGCTTCCATTGTGGTGTGACCTGAATATCCCAAAATTGTTGCATCTGACTCTCCCCTTAAAGTTCAAACTACCAGTCTTCTGCGATTGGTAGATGGTTGACCTGTTGCATACCAATTCAGTAGCTTCTACTGCAACTTGTTTGACTCTTTAAAACTTATGTTCTCTTAATTTCTATTTCCTCATGATATACATATATATCTAACACTCCATTGATGTCCATGTCCGTGAACATTGATACAAGCGTATCAACTACCAATCTAAGCTAAGCTAGCCATTCGTGTTTGCTCTTTAGATCCTATATCTGCATAGTCAACTATTGGGTGGGAAAGCTTCTAACAAAAAATGCGGTTTTATGATGATATTCTTTTTCATTGTTGTTTACAGACTTGCAATTCAAGTGATTAAACAAATTTACTTTCACTACTCTATATTTGAGACCATTTGTTCGAGTCTTCCTTCTCAACATGGCTTCTACAAAAAACAGTTTACAAATATTAGGGTAAATTGCAGTTCTTTATCATCATTAACACGCATCAAGGTGTAATCTTAGCAAATTGCAGTTTACAAATTATTTTCTTGGGGTACTCTTCTAGGAGTAAAGGGTTAAAAACTTTATTCAAGTCAATTCTAATTCATGAAGAACATAAAAAAGGAGTATTATCTTGTTTTGTATTAAAATTCGTGGGGTCAAAGGCGATAGATTTTTTAGTGTGTTGGGCACCCAAGTGGTATACCAGGTGTAATAATATATTATTATTTTAAAATTTGAATATTTTTTTTTTTACAATCAATTATATTATGACACAAATGTACGTAGTATTATTCCTGACATATTGAAATATTTTTATCAAAGGCGACAAGCTTTGAGAATTTGCCTTCTGGTGGGTCATAATTTCAAGTGGGCCTTAAATGGACACAATTAATGGTGCACTTTTTTCAAGCTATAATAACGTTTTTTTACAGGACAAATGGTAGAAAGCATCCCAAAAATAAAATAAAAAATGTGAAAAAATAGCTCAATGCGTACTTTTATCATGTGTGTGGTCGTGATATTGATTTTTTTAGTATGAAAAAATGATTCCAAAAAGGTGATAAAAATGTAATTCATATGGTAAAATGAGATTGAATATTTAGTTTCCGTTCAAATATTTGGTACTAGAATGATATATGTATCCTTTTCGAACCATATTTCTTATCTAACAAGCGCATGGTGAGGCTTTTTCTCTTCCTAAATGCTAATGCAAATAAGTCTTCGAAATTTAAGAAAACAAGGTAAATCCCACAAGAACTCTTAACCTCAAATCTTAAACTTCTACAACCACCAAAGCAAACAAGAAGGAACATATAGACGATGGAATGCGTCGCAAGAGTTTTCTCGTAGCTAAAAAAACATATAAACATGAAAAAACAGATAAAAGAGAGAAAACACAGTAGGAATTTGCTACAAATTTTGAGCCTCATTTAACTTAATGATGATATTAACGTTGTTGGGCAGGCTGGCTAACTTAGATAATAAGCAAAAGCAGACCATGTCCACGCATAATCCATCCCGCTTCTCAAAAAAGCACTTAACATTCACAAACTTGAAGAAAACAAGTATCATCACAAGATGAAAGCAAAAGACCATTTAAACAGAAAACAAGAAGCAAAAGTTTTTCATGACTTACCGAAACATATTTGTCCTCGAAAACTGGACACGATCTCCGTCGTTCGAGACCTTTTCGCCGAATGGATTGCTGCTCAACGAGACTGACGTAATGATCAAATGGGGTCATGGAAATCTCAGTAACTTAAAATAAAGGTTGAAACTGGAAAAAGTTGTAAGAAAGAAACTTCGTGTTGTAGAAAGCTCTTACAATCATTTTTCTTTAAGCACCCAGTTTTTGCAGTTTTTGAGAGGGAAGTACACGCGTCTTTCAGGTGTTGCTGGCCAAAACTTGCAGCTCACTAGAGGCTAGAGCCAGTGCAATGGGGGCTTATAGTTGGAATGGTATGTCTGGGATTTGACCGGTAGATTTTGTCTTGTTTACAAGAGGATTACCGGCTAATATTTGGTGAGCAAAATGTAAAACCCAACCAAACGTTCTAACACAAAAGAAAAAGGTCAGAGGGTTTTGTTAGACGGACCAAACTTTCTAGTCTAAATTTTTGCTGCCAAATACTTCCTTTTCCTTCTTCCATCCTCCTATCAGCTCACAGTCTCTATCTGCATTTTTTTTGAGATCCTAGATTTTAACATCTGCTTGTAGTATTTTTGTGTACTACGTTGGAGGGATAAACCTATCTCTGCAGTCCGCACTAAACTGCTCGATTTGAGGATTTCGGTGCCGTAGAATTTAGTGCAATGAACTCTACAAACTTGTCAAACACTTGCCTCAACATTTAATTCTAGATTCCATATGTGTACCTAACTTTCAAATATGTGCATGTGTTAACCTAACTAGGTTTTTAGCTAATGTAGCGGTTGTTAGCTTGATATATATTATTGACTCATTCTCTAATAAGGTATTAAAGCTTTGGTTCCATAAAGGTCCTAAACCTCCAACCCCTGCGCCCCAAATATTTTCAGTTATCCTTCGAAGGGTGGGGGTTGTACTTATTCCATTGTGCATGTTTGTTGTTTCCTCTCCAAAGGCATAATGGGTTTGGATGCGAGGGAGACTGTTAGCTTGATATACATTACTGTCTCATTTCTTGACAATTGAAAATTTTCAAACTTAATGGTTATTTAATAATAATTACGCCAAAAAATCAGAAACAATAATATCGCGGCCTTACGACTGACAACTAAATATGTTTAATGTGGAATGATTTAAAAGTTCAAAAAAAAAAAAAAAAAAAACGAAAGCTGATTATAAAATGAGAAAGTAAATTAACTTTTGGACAAATTAGAGTATTATGGAACCAATCGCTGGAATACTTACAGTTAAAGAGCAATGCTCCAAAAATTGGCTTGCCTATAGAAAACTGCATGTACTGATATATGTTATAACCAATTAGCAGCCGACGGTCAGAATTTTATTTTTTGTTCAAAAGTCAAACACATCTAAGCAAAGGACATGGAACCTACCATTCTACAGCTCAACATACAATTCCCACTCAGATACGAGATGCCAAAATTTGATGAAACATTCTACATTCTTACTATCTATGTTTCAACCACAAATCCAAGCACTTACCAAACTAGTTGGTTCTTCGTATTTTCTAAAATTTGATCCAATTGCCACCAATTTTAGAACCCAACTCAACAATTGTCCCCCTAACAGGTTTTAAGATGCGATATTGAAAGAGGAGAAACTGAAAATAATTTTTATATAGAGAACATTAACGAAAAGCTTTCGGTACTGTTCACTTTAACAAAAAATCATATTTTTACACTAAAAAGTCAATCATGTTATTATTCACTTTACCTTTTATTTTGTCTTTATTATTAAAACTCAAAGTTTTCAAACCCTTTCTTTAGTTTTCCTTTTTATATATCCTTTGAACTAGGTATTTAATTGAGCTATAAACTCGTTTCAAAGAAATTAAAAGTACATAATTCTCAGATGTGTGCTATGTCGACTCCAAAGTGTGGATTCATCAAAACATTTACATAAGTACAAGTACAACGTTATTTGGCAAAGCTTGTAGAATTTTATATGAATAAAATAAGTACACAACTTGACAAGTATAAACATTTCAATACTTTGTTAGACCAAACAAAAAGCATTTTAGTATTTTACTTGAAAAATACAGCTGTTGAGAGTAGGGAAAAAAAATTCAACTTAATTTACATCCTAAAATAATAAAATTATTTTCACATTTTTTTCGCTCAAGAAAATATTTTACATTGCTCTATAAAATGACGTGCTTTCATACCCATCCGATGTCTTATCTTTTCACCTACTGCATCACCTTTGTGGTCGACCGTGGAGATGTTTCGGATGGTGTTTGCGGTCTTGCTTCTTTTTTGTTTAATTACATTTAAATAAAAATTAATAATAAAATGTTATTTAAAGAATTTAAAATAGAATAAAAAACATGTTACAAGAGAAGGATATGATTGGGTGTTTAAGCGGCCAATAATTGGGATCGGATGGGGAGCAGGATGTTGGGGCCTTGGGGTAACGGTAGAGAAGATTTTCATTTTAATGGAAATACAAGTGGTATATTACGTGTTTTAATAAAAGTGGTGAAATTTTTTATTTTTTAAGTTATTAATTTTTTAGCACACATATTATGTTATTTGTATAATGACACGTAATGTACCATCCCGTGTACCTGTCATATTGTAAAATCTCTAGCAATGATGGGTGGGAAAAGAGGGACCAGGATCCTCTCCTAATCTAAGGATGAAGATCCTCATGACCAAGTAATGTGGACCGTTAGATTTTTATCCAACGGCTAGCTACAAACAGACGGGTCTCTTTAAAGTTGTAATAATTATAACCGTTGAATTTTTATCCAACGGTCCACATCTCTTGGATTTTTTTTTTTTTTTTTTAACAAAACAAGAAAAGTAGTTTTGTTTTCACATTTTATGGTGAGAGAGAAAATAAAGACGTTGGGTAGCAGCACTAGTAAAATAATGTCACAAAAATTGAACTTCCATATTTGCCCATGCGTGCGAGCGCGCGCTCTCTCCATCGACCCGCCCCCAATTCCGATTTCTCAAATTAGGGATTTTAAATTTGAGATGCGATTTATCAAATTCACCGAAGCCTTCAGCTTTTCCGATCCAGCTGCCCTGTAATATTCAGGTAATTTGGCTTCTCTCGTTCTCTTTCACAAATCCCATTTCATATTTTTAAGCTCATCGACTAATCAAAGCTCAGAATTTTACAGAATTTTAGCAATGTAGTTTGCCATATATTTTATCTGGGTTCGGATCATAACAAAAATCCATTATTTACAACAAGCGGTAGTATCTTTTTTCTCATAAAATTGATTTTTTTTTCTTGTTGAATTAATTGCAGGAAATTGAATTGAAGAAATGGGTGAGAGGAAAAGGCATAGAATTTTGATGGTCTCTGATTTTTTCTATCCCAATTTCGGTGGTGTGGAGAATCACATATATTATCTCTCACAATGCCTTCTCAAGCTCGGTCACAAGGTCAGAACACATTATCACTTCCACTTTCTGAAAAGCGAAAGTTCGAATTGAAACTGCTGTTTTGATTTATTTCACAATGCTATCAAGTTGGTTTTGCTTCACATTGATGTCAGAGCTCCCATCTCGGTAATGGGGGCATTGGATGGAACTCTGTTTTGTTTAGAGTAACGATCGATGGAATGAGAGGTGGCTGGTGTCAGCTTATATATCAGATACATACTTGTTATTTTTTAATATGTTCCGAACATTGTATCTGCCAAGTGATTTGAGTTATTTAAAGTAATGAAGTTCTTTCATGATACAAGTCAGCTTCCTTTGTTCGATTAGTTGTTGACTAGTGAAATTTCATTGTTTGATTACTTAGGTGGTGGTAATGACTCATGCCTACAACAATCGTTCTGGTGTGAGATATATGACAGGTGGTCTGAAAGTGTATTACGTACCATGGAAACCATTTCTTATGCAGAATACTTTTCCCACCTTTTATGGGACACTTCCAATTGTAAGGACCATCCTTATTCGAGAAAAAATATCGCTGGTCCACGGACATCAAGCTTTCTCAACTCTTTGCCATGAGGCTTTGATGCACGCACGCACAATGGGGTACAAAGTCGTATTTACTGATCATTCACTCTATGGTTTTGCTGATGCCGGAAGCATACACATGAACAAGGTATTGCAGTTTACTTTGGCAGAAGTAAGTCAGGCCATTTGTGTTTCTCATACAAGCAAGGAAAACACAGTGCTAAGGTCAGGTTTGCCACCAGAAAAGGTCTTTGTAATACCTAATGCTGTTGACACAGCTATGTTCAAGCCTGCACCAGAACGACTGAGTAGTCATGAAATTGTAATTGTTGTTATAAGTAGATTGGTTTACCGAAAGGGTGCAGATCTACTTGTTGAAGTAATTCCAGAAGTATGCCGTTTATATCCCAATGTGAGTTTATTTTAACATGGCATTAGATGAAATATTTGATTTCTAATATTTTCCCCATTTGCGTATTGAAATGTTCATATATTTATAACTTGTCAGCATTATTACCTGTAAAACTACTTTGGTGCATGAAGCCGTAACCTAAAGGAATGTTTTTATTATAACGAAAATGTTGAGGGTAGTTTGAAATTTGAAACTTAGCATTATTGGATGTAATTATTGGCATAGTCATTTAGCACTCAATCATCTCATTCAGAAATGTGTGGTTAGGTTCGTTTCATTGTTGGAGGAGATGGACCTAAACGTGTGCGGTTGGAAGAAATGAGGGAAAAACATTCTCTTCAAGATCGAGTTGAAATGCTAGGTGCTGTGCAACACTCTAAAGTACGATCTGTCCTAATTTCTGGCCATATATTCTTAAATAGGTACGTGTCAATATATTCTTTCACATGATTCCTCTCCTTTCAAGAACTGTAGAGCAGTGTCTGTAATTTCTTTTGTAACTACACCAATCATGTGAAAAAAATTAAATTGTTGGGATTTGGTTGTTTACTTGTACCACTAGTCAAATTGGCTCTACTTTCTTTAATAGAAATATCACAACAGCTATAATTCGATTCTATCTGAAGTTGAACACTGGTGTTTCTAAAGGCAGTGATCCTATCAACAAATTGAAACATAAGTAAATTAGGAGCTGCAATAGCGTGCAAATGATCGCAGCATAGTTCTTTTTCTGACTAGCTTACCGTGGAAACTCTGGAGAAACGCCACTGAGGCTGACAAGTTGTAGTTGTGACTGGCATAGTTCTCATGTGATGTGATTTTTATCCTCATTGCAGTTCTTTAACAGAAGCTTTTTGCATAGCGATCTTAGAGGCTGCCAGTTGTGGATTATTAACAGTCAGTACACGTGTAGGAGGTGTTCCAGAGGTATGAAATGTGAAGTCATCCATCTCTTAGTAGAATAGTGTTTGTGGTATCTGGACCTTTTAGAGCTTTTAGCTAACCTCAGTTCTGTACATAGGTACTTCCAGATGACATGGTTGTACTTGCAAAACCAGATCCTAGTGATATGGTTCAAGCAATAGAGAAGGCAATATCTATACTTCCTACAATCGACCCACAAGAAATGCACAATCGAGTGAGTGCTCTTTCATTGATTGTGATCTTTAGACAAAGATTACTACTTGTACAGTGGTTAAAATGTGCTTCTTTATTTCTAGATGAAGGAACTGTACAATTGGCATGATGTGGCGAAACGGACAGAAATTGTTTATGACCGTGCTTTGAAATGCTCAAATCAAAATCTTTTGCAACGACTCTCACGGTGTGTTTTCAGAATTTACATCTAAATTGCATGCTCATAGAGATGTTTGGCTGAGTCTTGTTCTTAGAACTTCATTGTGCATAGGAATGTGATCATTTATTCTCTTCATCACATCAATGGCTGTAAAAGCACAGTGATCTGCTTGAGTTTCTCTTCATCGTTTTGGGGTGAAAAGGATGCACCAGTGGTTATTTTTGCATTCCAACGACTGAATGTTGTATCTCTATATCCACTAGCTTAATAGTGATTGCAAGCATAGGAGAGGGTGTTTGTGTACTTTCTTGTTATAAAATGTGACACCGGTTTTTAGTTAAGCTGCCTTAATTGGATGCCAAGACGTAAACTTGATCAGGAGGCAGTGATGGATTTAGAACTTTGTGTCATTATTATCTTGATGTCTCGAGAATGCAGAAACATCTTAGGGGCGAGGGTTGCTAATTACTTAATTTGTTTATTGTAGATACCTCTCGTGTGGAGCTTGGGCTGGAAAGATTTTCTGCTTGGTTATGATCATTGACTTTCTGTTATGGCATCTGTGGCAGCTATGGAAGGTTGTAAAGTTTCTGTGCGCAAGTTCTTTGAATTTCCGCATTAACACGATTTCCGTTTTTAATTACCTTCCTTTCATTGTCCATCAGCCTGAAGAGGATATTGAAGAGGTGCCCGATTTCGTTCTGTCCCATGATCAAGATGAAGGGATTTCGCTGGACAATGCGAACCACAGCTCGAGATGACTGCATTCCAGATTGACATTTTTTTTATTTTTTGGTAGGGATGCATAGGATTGACCTGATTCTTCTTTATGTTGATTTCAGTTGGTAGCATCAGTTTAGTCCTTGCATGTAATCAATTTTGATCAAGATTTCGAATTTACAAGACAAACGATGATTGTCTGTCGCTTGTATCGCAACTTTCTTACAAGTTTTGATGGATATTTTATATTTGAAAGTATATACAGCACCAAACTTGAAGGCTTAGTACTTTTCTTTTGATGAGCTACTCTAATTTATAGGGAGAGAGATTCGACGCTGGTGTAAGGGGACGGAAACATTGCCTTGGCTAATTGGCTTGACTTACCCTCACAAATTTATAAACCTGTAACTAATATAGAATTACTTGATATTACTAATTCATTTGTTATAAACTTATAGTATGAATAAATGACAAAATAGATATTGTACAGACTTAGATAGTGTTCAAAGTTGCTTAGTAACGCATCATGGTTTCTAGGCGATTTTGGAAATTTGTGAAAAAAAATCATTTTAAAATCTACTTGCTTTCACTCTCACTGCACCGCGAGATATTGAAAATTTATGTAAGACTTTTTATTGATTTTAGAGAGACTGGAGGATGACTATGTTTTCCCAGCGGGGTTGAGGTGGTTGTGCCCAGGGGATTTTAGGAAATTCAAATTTTAATGAAAAAAAAAAAAAGTTAACATTGTTAAGTTTTTGTTAAGTTGAAAGACACGTGTTAATAAATTATAAAAGAGACACAAGAAAGACAAAAAGTTTAGAAACAGCAGACCTATAACTGTGTCACTATAAAACTAGTGAGATAATTGTGTTAAAAATTTTAACAACTTAAAAATAAAATTTCATTCCACTAACATAATTACACTTTGATATTTGCCCATATTCCGAGCACAACAAAAAATTTATAGCAGGACGATGAAATCAAACTTTCGAGAATAGAAATGAAGAGCCCAAAAACTTGCATCTTTTGAAAATAAGATAAGGACAATGGCATTGGTACATGGCAAGTTGGGTACGTGGAGCGAGCCTAGACAACCGTTGGCTTTCTGTCTTTCATAAGAGTCAATCATCTATGTCCGCCATGTGAGCTTCATATCTCAGACTCTCAGTTGACACTTCATCACTCTCTCTCTCTCTCTCTCTCTCTCTCTCTCTCATCAAAGCCATGGCAAGCACCAGCTCTCCCGCTCTATCTTTGTCAAAACTGGATTTTCCACCAGTTTCCTCTCAGAGAAACATGCAAAATCTCCATCAAGTTAAGATTCCTCGTAGGCTGTCGAAGTTTTCTGGAATTAAATCAAACGGGTTTGTCCTGTTTTCTTCTCTGAATGGTCAAACTGGTGAGACCAGCCCTCCAAGTGCTGAAGCAACCACTTCAGTAAACAATGTGTCTGACGTCCAAGTTCAAAGCAGGTACCATATTTTCAGTTTCTCTTACTCATTTGTTTCATGGTTCTGTTTGGTTTTAGAAAGTAGGAATACCTGAAGCACTTGTGAAGTCCTTCGTTTCCCGTTTCTTGGGAACCAAACGGAACTTTGGGGATCAAATCATCAAATTATACGACTTTAATTTAGCTTAGTTAGGGAACTATTTTGTAGGCCGCAAAAAGCCTTTGTACTAAATTTCTGAATAACTTTTGACTGAACTTGGTATAAGTTATACTCCGATTTATGCATATTAAGTTTAATTGTGGTAAAATCGGCATACATAGCTGTATGAACTGAAAAAAGATGAGACAGAAGGTAGCTGAATCTTAAACCATTGTATGCAAACTAAGTCGAACCATGGTAAATGGAGCTCATATGAACTAGTAGAAGTGGGAAGAAAGGAGAAACTTGGATGAGATATCTCTGCCTCATGTTGGAATTCTAATAAGACTTGAACCCGGAGTTGCTCGTGAACCCGGATCGAGTTGCTCGTATGCTTTTATAAAGCTTGTGTTCTTGATCCCCCACTTGATATATGACACAATATAGGTTCCGTTAATGAGAGTTGAACACAGACGTTGCCTTAAAGAGTATTCCAGTTTCGGTTGCCATTGCATTGTATCTTTGATCCTTTAATTGAGAATTGTAATTGATATGAACTATTTGAAATTTTTATGAATATATTTCTAATGTTATCCTTCTTCTGTGTGCCGTAGTATATGGAACTGGAGGGGTTATTCTATCCGATATCAGCATGCTGGCAACAGTGGCCCAGCATTAGTTTTGATTCATGGTTTTGGAGCAAACAGGTCCACATCATCCACATATTACTTCTCATAAGCAGACAACTAATTGCTATAGGTATTACATGCACAAATTGCTAATTACAGTCATGATTTCACACACACAGAGACAAGAGACATATCTATTTTTGTTAGCTGGACGCATAGTATGAGGTTTCATTAAATTTACTTGTACATGGTTTTACTATTTACATTGGTTGCCTATTAGTTTGCTAGTAGGATTATTTTGTACACAACTGGGAGAGAGTTAATTCTTTGCTAACTAGATTTAATAAGTCAGATCATTAGCTGATGAAACTGTCGTTAATGCTTAAGAACAAACCAACAGACCAAACTGAATTTCTGCGTTTTGTTGCAATCTAGAACTTAAACCCTCATCTTGTGCATGATCTCTTTCATCCCATGCCTTAACTTGTCAAGTTCAGGTACATATGACAAGCATTTTATCCTTTACAGTGATCACTGGAGGAAAAATCTTCCAGTTCTTTCAAAATCACACAGGGTATACTCTATTGATCTTATTGGTTATGGGTACTCAGACAAACCAAATCCTCGTCAATTTGGGGAAACTTTGTTTTATACATTTGAGACATGGGCCACCCAGCTAAATGATTTTTGTACTGATGTTGTCAAGGGTGAAGCATTCTTTATATGCAACTCTATCGGAGGTACAGATATTTGGAGCCTTCGATCTTTCTGAACTTTTTCTTTTGAATGATATCAAAAAAGATCTAACCTTACAAGTGCTTTTCATGGCTTCACATAGGACTTGTCGGTCTTCAGGCAGCAGTTATGGAGCCACAGTTATGCAAGGGCATAATGCTTTTGAATATTTCTCTTCGTATGCTGCATATTACAAAGCAGCCTTGGTACGGGAGACCATTGATCAAATCCTTTCAGAACTTGCTGAGGTAAAGGCGGATTAAGTAGTTTGTTTTCCATATTAGAGTTTGATAGTGTAAAAAAGGATTTCAAGATAGTCATGCTGCTGTGACAGAAATACTGCTGTGGGCAAATACTTCTTCAAAACTGTTGCCACACCACAATCTGTCAGGAATATCCTTAGCCAGGTATTTTTCGATATCGAGATTGTATTTTTTCATAAGCTTATAATATACGAGTGCATTAACCAAGGTGATCTGATAAGCAAATATAGTTTTGTTTCAATGAGTCTGTCATGGTTGAGAATCATAGATTCATAGCATATGACTGGAAATTTTTAAGTAGACAACGGGAATTTTTCAAAGAATGTAGTCTTTGTACTGCAACTTTGTTGCAAAGCGAAAACAGATATGTGCATATAGACTCTAAAGCAACATGTAGCTGCACAAATTGTACATCTTCAGAAACTTTCATCTGCCCTTGGGAAACCTGTTTCCAAATTATCTAGAGAACCTATAAAGTTAGGAACATGCACTCTTGCCATTTTGGCTTCGATTATGTTACTGATACAGAAACTTTCATTTCAGTGCTACCACGACACCTCCAAAGTGACAGAGGAACTAGTTCAAAAAATCCTTCTTCCAGGACTTGAGCCTGGTGCTGTAGATGTGTTTCTGGAGTTCATTTGTTATTCGGGCGGCCCCCTTCCTGAGGAACTATTGCCTCAATTGAAGGTTAGTCTCGTCAGATGATTAAGTGTGCTACCAACCGTCACACCAATCGAAGTTACGATTACTAACACGTATGGAGCTTGTTTTTTCCACTTCTCTTTACAGTGCCCTGTTTTGATTGGCTGGGGTGACAAGGATCCGTGGGAGCCCATTGAACTCGGACGTGAATATGGAAAATTTGATTCTGTAGAAGACTTCGTTGTTCTTCCTAATGTTGGCCACTGCCCTCAGGTTTCTCTCTCTCTCACAAACATTCTGATGTCATAATTTAGCTCTTGAAAAGTTTGCATGCATGAAGGTTAATGGAGTCATTTAAAATGTTTTTGTGACGGTTCATGGACTATGCAATGTGGTTCTGTATCGCATGCTAAAATCCGAAGGACTCGGAGAAACTGTTTTTGTTAGTCCAAATGTAGACGCATAGGGAAAAGACTTCCTAGCGTTCAACTATTAGCAGATATAATTAATCACCCACAAAAGACCTTGATTAGAAAAAACACTGACAATGTTCCCATTGACAACAATACTGATTTTGTAATTTGTTAATGTGTCTGATCTGAAGGATGAAGCACCTGACCTTGTAAATCCGCTGATCGAATCATTTGTGGCACGCCACGCCGCGCTCCCTGCCAGCATTTCCACGACTACCTGATGCATAGCATGTCACCTCGTTGCAGTTTCTTTGTGTATCAAAGATGCTGATTTTTTGGAGGCCATTACTCCCCAGAAGCAATAGCTGACGACGTTGATTGCAATTGATTTTGACGTTTTATTAACGGGGTCATGGCATGGCATTCTAATAGAGTGTTGCTGGAACTCGGCATGCCACCATTAGTGTTTACACTTACAAGTTGTACAGTACTCTTTACCAAAAACACGAAGTTTTCATTAGCTTTCACTCTTTGTAATAACATTTGTAAAATGGCTGTTTATAGCTCTTCAGTGAATGATATAATATCAAGATTCACATTAAGGGGTTTTTTGAGTATATTTTACAATCACATTAAGGGATTTTTTGTTATTCTTTTTATTTCCAAATAATGTTGATAGGTTTACTTGAATGTCATGTGTAGGAGAAAAAAGTATGGAGTGTCGTCGGGCGATGACACGACAGAATCTCTCCTGCAGAGCCGTTCATAGAAACAAAATAAATGCTCATTAGCACTCAAATTAGTACCCGATTGTTAGTCCCTAACATGATGATTTGAACACTTGAAGAGTTAAGATCATGTTAGCATGCATATATCTGGCGTTTTACTGTTTCTGTCCTGTTAAAGCATGGCATCTTCGACTCACAGGACACAAGAGTATAATACAATTAATACAAACTGAGTCATTATATCAATCATTCGAATTGCATTGATCCTAGTCTTTTGTGCTTGCTTTTTACTGTCCCCTCTATTATTTTCTTTTCCCACTTGAAAACTACGATCCATGCAGACTCTAGGATTCAAATGCCATAAAGTCAGCAATAACGCTTTATAATAAAATGGAAAAAAATAGACAAAATTAAGCCAGAGACATTTCACCAACATGTCTTCATGTGTCCTTGTTTTTACTGTATGTCTTCCAACCCCAACTGAAAAAGATTGATCATGACTCATGAGGAGGCCGGTCATGCTTATGACGGTACTCCTCGGACAGACCTGTGAGGACGTGAAAAGCTGTTCCACGACGAAAAATTGTCCATTTCATTGTCAGTTAATGACAATGAATTTGTTATGGAACGTCGACTTCCACAATCCTAACAAAAAAGAAAAGTGAATTCTTTTGGTTCCTGCCTTCGTTCTTTGTTTTACATTTCTTTATAGGTAGCCTGCCAAAGCCCAAAGGCAATTCAACATGATTAGTCAAGCATCATAATCATAATAAAGCACAAGAGAGATCTGTTTTATTTGGAACCGGATCTCCTCCTGAGCTTAGGAGGCAGAGCCTCTTGAGCAAAGGACCTGAACTGTTGAAATTTGATTCAACGGCTACAAAAAGGAGGCTCCTCTAAAAGTTATAATAAATTGCAGCCATTGGATCAATTTCAACGGCCCAGATCCTTTTGCTCAGGAGGGGATCCAGTTCCGTTTTAATTAGGAGGGCATTTTTGCCACTATCCTAATTAAGTGATGGTGATGCTCATCAAACGATAAAAAAATAAGATAATGAGCATCACCTTCACTTTAGACTGGTGAGCAAAAATATTTTCTTCAATTAAATCCCCGTTGTGGGCTCACGGTGATTGTACATTATCATCATAAATAATGCATGCTTGAACACCATTTTAGGAAAAGAGATCCTCTCCAGATCTCTTCCACCAAGGTCACCAGATCAAGTGATCCGGGCCTTCCAAAATTCATCCAATGACTCACCTGTTTTGATCCCTTAAAAGCTATGATAATTTTTGGCAGTTGGACAAAATTTGGAAGGACACATAACCCTTTGGAAGGACACAGAACCGAGCGCAATAGCGTTATAGGATTCATATAGCCGACTCCATTTAATGGGAAAAGACTTTGTTGTTGCTGTTGTTGGATGAAATTTGGAAGACTCAGATCACTTGATCCGATGACCTTAGTGAAAAAGATCTGGAAAGGATCTCTTCCCCATCTTAATATCATGTCTATCGTAATTAAATCATGGATGGTCAAGGCCTAAGTGTGCACCATTGATCATTTAGTATAAGATATTAAAAGAAAAAAGTTGGTAAGTATTTCAAGCAATGGGAGCTATATGTGGTTCTTAAGGATTCATGAGAGAGACTTATCTATGCATTGGGTAAACTACTACTGTGACATTGCGATCGATGTAAGTTGCTCTCCATATTCATAGCAAAAATTTCATTTTTGCTTCAAATTACCTTGCCCTATATTGGATTGAAGAAAACATCTACTTGTGAGAACCATGCATGCATTGCAAATTATACAATGGGATTAAGCACCATAATCATGAAGTTTATCAAGTAGGATTGAAGCATGATCATAACTAAACCCAAAGTAGTAACAAGCAATAGGATGAAAAACTAAAAGGTATTAAGGTATACCATTTAAACTACTTAATACGATTGAGTCAATATGTTTTTAGCCAGTAGAGAGGTCTGCTAAAAGACCATATCATATTAAAATGTAATTTTATAAATATTTTCATTTTTATATAAGCGAGGCGAAAGAGGGTACGACTTAACTATCACCAAATAACAAAAGAGATTATTATTTTTTTCTTCAATTAAGAGTGAGTTTTCTAACTTCAAACCTCTTCCGATATAGTTGATGAAAAGAGAATCAACGAGTTCAACATTTGGTATTTGAATACAATAAAGGGGCTTAATTAGTTGATCAAATAAGATTTTTCCAAATCAAAGTACGCGATGAATCTCCTCTACATAAATTCTATGAAGGTGCAGATCGAGAAGGGAATATATTATTGGTGCACCCACCAAACACAACTGAGATATAGAATACAAGAGATTGAAAGAAAGGCAGAATCTTGTTTGACTGAAAATTGAACAATACTCGCATTATTTTCATATACATGGGGCCTATATATGCACCAATCAGTTAACATCACCTCTCACGTGTCATGCAAGTTCCACAGTACAGGATTGTTAAATCGAGTATATATGTGTGTGTGTGTGTGTGTGTGTGGAGATAGGTATACTTCTTATTGTTAGAGGGCCTGCGACTTATTCAGCAGAAAGAATTAATGGGTAAGTTCAAAACGGTGTGTGTATTTTGTGGGAGTAATTCCGGGCACAGAAAGATATTCAGTGATGCAGCTCTTCAACTTGGGAAAGAACTGGTTGGTACTTATAACCTCGATATATATAGCTGATAAAACACACTGGTTAATTAGTTAATTAAATTTTTTTTTGTTTACTTATTATGAATTTGCTTGATGGATTTGAGGGTTTTAACTGCAAGGGTTTTTAGTTAATCGATTAATTTTGCAGGTGGAGAGGAAGATGGAATTGGTGTATGGAGGAGGAAGTGTAGGGTTGATGGGGTTGGTTTCTCAAACAGTTAATGATGGCGGATGTCATGTTCTTGGGTAAGAACTAACCAATGAGGATGATCAAGTAATTAACAATAGTCCTCAATAATAACTACCTCAAACTATTTTATTAGCATGAAAATTATAAAAACAAGAGTTTGGATTTTAAAGATATGCTTAGCTAGTACAATTGCGAATCTTTAATTAATTAATCAAGTGATTAATGTTCTTCTTTTTGGCTTTGGCTAGAGTAATCCCAACAGCCCTAATTCCACTTGAGGTTCTCTCTCTCTCTCTCTCTCTCTCTCTCTCTCTCTCTCTCCCCCCCCCCCCCCCCAAAAAAAACTCTCCTAGTTTTTCTGTGTGCGTATAATACATATGCTAACTGATGATTATTGTTTTGTGTTGTGATTGAATGTTATTTAGATATCAGGCAATTCAGTAGGAGAAGTATTGGTTGTATCGAACATGCATGAAAGAAAGGCTGAGATGGCTCGTCGAGCTGATGCTTTCATTGCATTGCCTGGTATATATACACATACATCATGTGCTTTCCTTCATTATTAACAATTTTAATTTGAATAATAACCAGCAAAAATAAACTAATTAAAGTTACGATTACAACAGTATCTCTAAACTTCTGGTAATTAATAAATTAATTGTTAAACTGTATACATGATATATACCATGCATTTCATTAGTAATTAATTCTTTATTTGCCTGGATTTTGGATATCTGCGAATAATTAGGTGGGTATGGAACCATGGAAGAGTTGCTTGAGATGATAACATGGTCTCAGCTTGGAATCCATAATAAACCAGTAAGTTTAATATATATTAAGTGTTTCCTCTTATTATTTTAGGGCAAAACGGAAAATGCTAGGGAGTTTATTTATTTAGCCCACATTTGTAGATTATATGTTGTGTAACTAATAGAAATAAACTCGTTAATCAAACACTTACGTAATAATTCAATTATAAAGAATCATGTCACGAATTTGTTAAATATAATTTAAGTAAATAGTCTCCAGAGTAGTTAAAAGTCGTAACTTTTTGTTGGGATCTACTAGCTATCTAATAACCTAAGAAGAATTATTGGATTTAATTAGCATATATAATTGATTGCATGAGCCATAGGACGCGAATAACCCTAAAAATAGGCAACCTCAATGATATTATTGTTTACTCAGATATTTGGAAAATTTAAATAACTCGTACAAATTTTCAACTTCAAAATGATTGTAAAAAACAATTAGATTCCCCCTCGCTATCTTATCGTACGCACGAAAGGAATTCATGTAAGCGTTTAAAAATCTAGTTATCTTTATGAAGTAATTTTGTGTTAAATTAATGTTAAACATAAGAGAGAGTTGAACTCTGAACTTGCTTTAATCTTAACCATTATCCAAATTTTCTCACCAAATTTGGAAAAAGAAATAGAAATTGGTATGTTCTTTTTGTGACAAAGAACCGTATAACATTTTATTCATCGATATAATGTGTTAATGTAAATTTCAAACATGTGCAATCACTTGCAAGTCACATTTATAATTGTAGTATTAATTAATCAAGCATGTGGAAGTTCATTAAAATTGAAAATTTCTTGGTGTTATATTAAGTTTTTTATTTGAAATGATCATAAAAAGGGTCATTCTAATGGTCCTAACGCCTAAGAACCCCACACTACACATTCATATAGTGCATTAACCACTTTGCATCCACCACAATGATGCCCTCCGCTGCCTAGCTAGCTCTCCCCATCTTCTTTCAACATGCATATTCAACCCGTAAGATGCTAGGCTCCTTGAATTGAAAATTGTATGATGGCATCCAAGTGAAATAATCTATTGATCTGAGTGGGAAAAATCATTCCGCATTCTATGCAATGGAGGGAACTGGATCTTAGGTGATAGAGCTTTCAATTTCTCGATGAATTTTGCTGTGGTTAGTCGCTTTTGATCTGCTTACAATTGCTAATAATTTATATTTTCTCTCAATAGTACTCCGCATGGATCTTTGATCACTTCATATTTTTAGCATACTATTTTATAATGTTGACACGAAAATTAAAATTAAATTGTGAGGTAACAGAGAATTGCACTTTGAGAATTTTCTTAGCATTTCTCTAAAGTCAAAAGGTGCTCACACGCAAATATTTCACTGTCTTATCATTTGTGATAAAACAATAGAATCTTCAAAACTAATAATAAAGCTTTCAATTTCTAAATGAATCTTGATTGCTTTGAATGTGTGCACAATTTCCAATCATATATACGCGTCAGTTTTACCATAAGATCTAGGTGCATCTTAAGGTCAAAAACTACTCACGTGCCAACGCGCCACTTACCCTAATACTCCTCTTTCTTAACTGTCATCCATCCGAATTAGCTAGCAAGTACTTAGCTGTATGTGGTTATAAGTCAGATCTTTGTTTTTAGCTTGATAGCCATATGGATGTGTGATATGGATGGCCATGATAAGACTTGGTAACCATTTTTAAACCCATATATAATATGATTGAGGCTTACTCTTTCCCTTGACAAATCGTTAGAAGCACGCCCTTTGTCACAACAATCGTTTCACACTCGTATGTTGTTGTGAAAATGATGGGACAAAAGTTGGAAAAAAAAAAGCATTGGGAAAAGGACATTTCACCTTTTTAAATCATATTAATCCACCAACTTTATGTCACTTTTGAGTTTTTAACTTGGACCTTAACGTATGAACCAATTTTCTAAAAAAAAGACATTAACATTTTAACCACTATACCACATATTTTTGTCTGCAAATCAGGTGGGTCTTTTGAACATTGATGGGTATTATGATTGCTTGCTTCGTCTGTTTGACAAAGGTGTGGAAGAGGGATTCATCACTTTATCTGCTAGGAATATTGTCATATCTGCAAAAACTGCCACAGAGCTGATACAGAAGATGGAGGTACTGATATCACTCTCTGCTCAACAAATATTTAATAAATAATATCAGAAGTGCTTCCTTCTTGGTGTTTCCTTGTACAGCGCCAAAAAACCACTTTTTTGATCATTTGAAAGCACTTTTAGCCCTTACAAAATCATACCCACCCCAAAACTACTTCAATGTGTAAACACCTTTGATGGGAAAATGAAGTTACAAACATAGCTTGTTTACATCGCCTTTCACCCTAAAAGAGGTTCATGTTTTTATTTATTTCTGCAGGAATACATACCTTTGCATGATCAAGTGGCTCCAACCCAAAACTGGAAAGTCGAAGAAAACCATGCAAATGATCTATGACTGACTTTACAAATGAATTGGTTTAGATAAAAAGCAAGGGTTGAATTTAGTTATATTTGATTTTCTGAAATTTAATCTTCCTCTTTAAGATTGGGATGTAACTGATATATATAGTAATTCCTACCATATGCAGTAACATATGTGCCTCTTAAACCATAATTCTTCATTCCCGTATGCATAACACTATAACCTGTTTAAGCATTCTGTAAAACTATGGACGCCAACGATGGCTTTAAGGAACGATATGGCATTGAAGAAAAAGTATAGCATTTAAAGCTACATGAGGAGTTTTGGAGTTAAACCGATGAAAGAAGTTTCAAAATCTGCAGGTTGAAATGAAAATCTAAATGTGTTGCATCGATCTAAACCTTCGACTCCACTTTTCAATTCAATTTTTTGTTCAATGGAATCAACTACAACTTGTAAGAGATAAAATTGATGTGAAAAACAAAATGAGTTGAATCTATAATACAACATATATAGACTTTGCTGTGATCGATAAGAAATTCCAACATCCAATATAAAAGAAGAACAAGCAAATAACAGCAATAAGCCTCACACGAATTCAACTGTATCATTCGAAAAGTGAATCAAAATATGGAATAGGGAACTAGATGTTTCTCCAACCTGGTCAGCATGTGTTGATTCCGTCCTTGCAATCTGCCGTCAAATTATAGAATGTTTCCACACGCGTCTTTGCCCTGTAAAGAACCTCAGTATCCACTTCAACCCTCATGTATCCATCGAACTCAACTGGTCGCCCGTTGTTTAAATTGCTAGTCTCATTGTACCACTCACTCGTGTTACTCCAAAGTTCTTTGTAGTCATCAAGCAAATGAACTTTGTACTGAGACCTCAGTTTATCAAAGTAATTGTAGAACCGTTCGTTAGTGGCTATATACAGATTCCTCCAAGGCTGCACCATCGTCTTGACCTTGTTAAGAAGCATGTCTGGGGACGTATCATAATCAAGGTGAGGCCAAAGCTGCTTATTCTGCGCCTTCTCTCCTCGCACAACATGAACAGCATCAAAATCCCAGTCCATCCGCCCGCTGATCTCCGTAACAATATTCATCAATCTCTTCGATTTCCACAAGGCATGCCACGGCCTCTGAACGTACTTAGCAGCCTGTCCTTCACACACCCTGTACCAGTAATTTTCTGGCTCCGGACCATCAAACTGCCTCCATATAATAGTGCTCCTCTCTTTCTTGAGCTGCATTGGCATCACCTTATGGCTTGCGACCTTCTTAATGGGCACTTTCCTCTTATGGATCCGATCCCACTTCTTCCAATCCCGCAGAAATTCATCCTCATCCACAATTGAGGCGGTTTCCTTGAGATGTTCATAATCAAAGTAATACCGAAAATCTTTCCCTTCCTCATCTTTATTACTCAGAGTATAACTCCCCGCCAAGCAGACACTCAAATCCATCACAAATGTCCTGTTCAAATACATAGCCTCACCTAAACCACACAAGAAACTCCATTGGAACTGGTTCATCCCCTTGCAATAATCCCCTCCGCGCGAATAGTACAAGTACCTCCCCCTCCTAAAATTCTTATCCGATCCCAAGCTAGGGATCGTATCATTGATCTGTTCATCACGAACTGGTGGGGTGATTCTAGCCTTCCCACCACCCCTGGTGCCATTACTACTAATCCTGCTCGCTCTCCTCGCATTAATACCCGAATGCCACCTTCCGGCGTGCACCACCTTATAAGTACAATTCACCCCGAATCCGAGCTTAAACCTCCTAAAATCCCTATACTTCCTCCAAGACTTCTCCTTTTTGTTCCTAAACTTCCACAACACATCGCATTCATCCGCTTTCGACCCATTAACCGGCGTTTGATACTCCAAAAACACAATGTTCTTAAACCACCTCAAATTAAATCTCTCCACCGCAATCAAAGCCCGTGGGTCAGAGCAATTCACTCGCTCCAAATCCTCACAATTCAACCCGTCCGACAGGGTCGAATTGGTCGAATTAGAGACCTTGGCCTCGGCTTTCGCAATCACAGACTCCGTAATGACTGCAAAACCCGAAGAAACCGGGGCCACGGCGGGGGCAAGAGGTAAATCCTCGCCGGTTGTGAGGACAGAGTTGTCATCTTTGAAAGTGGCGTTCTCGGAATCGGTGAAGAGTTTTGTTAAGGCCGGAGCTGACTCCAGCCATGGATCTGGGGGTTGGTAGGTGATGGCAATTACAGTAATTATAAGCACCGAAAAGACAAAAACTGAGAAACAGAGATTGCTGATGAGTTTGATGATGTTTTGCCCGATGGGCTCAGTGGCCGGATTCGATACTTTCATGAGTTCTCGAGAAAACCCAGGTGGGAAAACCGGTCAGATCTTATGAATGCATGAAAAAAAAATGATGGGTTTTTAGAGAAAGTGGAAGAAAAATGAATGGGGAAAGAAAGCAGAGATTTGGAGCTGGGGATTTACTTACAGTTGATTAATGGAGATCTGCAGAGATAGACACCAAAGTGTGTGACTTCAGTTTTACTTCACTGGTTTTTTTGTTTACATTTGTTTTGAGGACGGTGGGTCGGCTGTTAATGTCGCGCGCGTCAGATTTGGAGTGAGGAAGTGAAGGACTGCGTTGGACTTGCGGAGCTTCAGTTGCAAGCGGCAGGGATGAGAAATTTTTCATTCTCGGTAAACGGTAATGCATCACGTATTTTTATATAAATGGTTAAAAATTTTAATTTTTAAATTATTAATTTTTTAACATATATATTTTATTATTTATTTAATAACACGTGATATTCTACGTACCGATCATACTGAAAAACATCTAGACAAGAAGGGAGCTGTTGGTTAGTTTGCTTGTCTTTGTGAATGTTCCACTTTGCACTGCTTTGCATTTGGCCGCGTCGGTCGTTTAGTAGGACAAATACTTTTGTTAGGGCCCTTTTGGATGCATGGATTTGAGAGGGCCTAAAATTTAACCATACTTTTTTGTTTGGGCCTAAGCTAGACTCGTAAAATCGTGCAAGATTTTGTTCAAAAAGCGTTGGTTAAAGTCGAATGTTCGACTACTAAACGTCACTTGACTATACAAGATCTTCCCACGGAATCGGTGATGTGAGATTCGGGGTATATGAAACGAGACGTTCTCCCGATACGGAATGCAACCATTTACCAAACTGAGAGATGATCCACATTACCCAATAGAACATTGACATTAGCATGATACTTTGTATAGTGTACAAACTCATGCTCAACATTGTTAAGTTTACATGCATTCGGTTCACAAATGTATCATAATTACATTACCCCACGCCCGCGGGGTGTTTATTGTTGTATTAAGCTAAATGCACGGTGAGTGAAGAAAACCAGATCACCGGAAAGCATGGTTGTAGTCATGAAAGTGAAACTGTTTGTAGATATAGTAAGCCAACCATTTTGAAGCTGCAAATGATAGTATAGCTGCTGCAACGAGCGTAGTTCTTGCAGCCACTGATATGGCAGCCTGCTTGGTTGCGGCAACAATTCCCACTAAAGCAAAAGCGACAAACTGCAATACAACTTCGAGCACTTTCAGACCTTTGTATCCGGCACTGCAACTACTGCAGTTTACCACATGGGACCAGTACCTGAAAAGGTTGTGCAAAAACCCGTCGATGATCATTCAACAATAAGAGGACTTATAAGTTTTAACACTCTCCAACTTAGTTCTTATGGCCATGACACAACCTGGCAAGGCAAATGCTTGCATTTCAACTAATAAACCCAAAATTTCGAATGTGTGCTGGAAATTTCTATATCTTTTGCTGGCCTGAACATTCGAAGAACAAACTGAGATATGCTTGAAGGTGTGTTATAACAGATCTGGTTTGTAAAAGTTCCAGGAACACCAAATTTTAGCATATTTTCAAGACCGCTATGATCTACTTTGATGCCATCAGAATTTCCCATATAAACTGTTCTAATTTTCTGAAACTAAGTAATCAATTTGTTGTTTGAATCCTGCTTCAAAACTATGTGAAAGTTACCTGTCCAGCAACTGTTCTCTAGGAGGAGTGGGGGGAAGAGCCCCACTGAACTTGCCTCTCCAATCTACCTGACCGCCAGCATACTTGTTTAACCATTTTCTGAAACCAACCACAAGGGCATCTGACTTTGTTGGCACAAAACATGCTTTTTGCCACTGGGCAGGGCCAGCTTCCATTATCTTACGTTCCTGTACGAAGAACTCAAGACTCAGGCAAGAATAAGTGAGATTAAGAGATTCACTAAAGACTCTTATTCCGTGGTCATGTAGCTGCACACTTGAACTCAATAGAATGTTTTTCTTATTGTTCAGAAGAAAAGCCTCGACTGAAAAAGTAACGTCTTACACATTCAGCACGTGAAAAGCAAGATAATTTTTAAGGAAACTAATGAAAAGGACTTGAAAACTTTGAGTTTTAACGAAAATGACAAAAAGGTGTTGTATGTGAATAGTACTAGGATTGACTTTTAGAGTAAAAATGTGGTTTTTTGTTAAAGTGCACAATACCGGAAGCTTTTGGTTGAAGTTCCCTAATTTTTAAACCTACCATCAAGAGTTAAAAGTCACCTCAACATGAAGAAGATATAAATCGGAGTCCAGAATCAGATTTTGTCCAATATGAAACATCCACCGCGGAACAATCTTATCAATCCAAATGCCAAAGTTTCTTGGGAAGGTCCATATCAACCTGCTATTACCCGGACTAACTGGGATACAAATAAAAATTAGAAGAATTCTCCGCTGGGCTGATGACACCTACACAAATCACCATACACATAAAGAGATGTACAAAAGGATTAAAACATAAAGGATTTGAACAAAAACAGAATGTTCTACCTTTTTGGTTTCAGCTGATGATGCAGCCCCATTACCCTGGTCAAGCGGAGCAAGTGGAGAAGCGTAGAACACACATGGTGGCAAAAATTTACTCCGACCCCATTCTGCTTTGCGATGAAACCATTTATGTCTAACTTCTCAACACTCAAATCCAATGGTCTACCCCCTTCTCTGTCAGTTTTCTCTGTAAAGAAATGAACTGTAAATCATCCTGAACCTCCTATACAAAGTGAAATTAACTTCATGAAAGTAATGCATAAACTAGTATTTGCCTTTGGGTTGTCTCGTTTGCATTATTCCATAATGTGCATATGGAACATGAGCAGGGTCCATAAGATTTTCAATCAAGACCTCGTACCTGGAATTGCAATAAAGATATTAAGCAAAGTTATTAAGAGGAAAAGCTGAAAAATGAAAATTCAAAATTTCAGATCGATACACCTAAAAGTTCTTGGACATGAAAGATGAAATAAGACCTGGATGCGGATTCACAAGGTTTCTTATAAAGGAGCATTATGCCTCAGTAGAAAAAGAGTTTCATATCAGAACTGGTAGAAAAAAGTATCTTTACATACCCGTAAGGAATCTCTCTGTTTCCCATTGGACCACTATACGATGGATCATCTAGTTCGGGTATGTAGGGCGGTTTTTTCTCTGCAAGAACATCTTTGTATTGAGGATCGGAATTTGGCCAAAACCACACAATGCCATTTTGCACGGTTGTTGGATAAGCGGCTACACATGCTTTCTTATTCGTGTGAATCTGCAAGTTGAAAGTGTCATCCCTATCATCTTATTTAAACTACAAACCATGCACAGCATATAGTTTATTGCCATAGAACCACTTCTGCAAGAACAAGAGAAGAGTTTCGATTCAAACTTGGAATACTATTACTATAAATAATGTTTAAAGTTCATTAAAATTGGTCCCAATAGTTTCAATTGACGTGATTTAATCCCTATAGTTTGGGAAGGCCACAGTTTGCGTCTAGGATTGGATGATAACTCACTAGATTCTACAAATGGTGAAATAAGAAATAAACCCCAACTTCCAACTTTTGTCATAGTCGAGGAATTAGATGGATTAATCACAAAGGAAATTATCCCTTCCCGTTCTAGGCACCAAGAGTAGTGTAATTGTTACAATTGAAGGCCACTGACTCTCATTGTGTCCTTTTTTCAACATAATTAGTATACAATCGTCATATATAAAGGACAAATTAGACTTTTTGAAGGTGTTTCTCGCGCTAATTCCATTGAAAATCTAACATAATTAAGCCATCCTCCTTGAACTGCAACAATTAGTAAACTACAACACAAAGACGTCAAATCACAACAACTGAAACTACAGGAATCAAAGTGGAAAGTTCGCCGAAACTACAGTGACCAAAATCATACTTTCTATGCAAATCTACGGTACTGTTTGACATCTCTAGCAGTCTATCTAATTAACTTGTACGAAGGTTTACCACAATAACTAGCTGTACGTATCTCTATATCATACTTGCATGAAGGTTTTCAGTCGAGGATTATTTACCGGAGGGCCAGTCAGTTGGTGCTTGAGGGATGAACTTGCAGTCACCGGAGCCATTAAAACACCAACCGTGATAGACGCACTGCAACCTGCCCCACTGATCAATCCTCCCTTCCGACAACGGCGCCAACCTGTGCGGACAAGCATCATCGAACACCTTCCAAGCACTCTCGTTCCGGTCCCACCACACCACCACGTCTATCCCCAAAACCTTCTTTCCATGCGGGACCCTCTTATCGAGATCACAAACCGGCATCAACGGATACCATTGGGCGTACCAGTCGAATTTCTCCTCCTGGGTCGGGTTTTGGAGTGATGGGTCGGGTGGGTTTGCAGGCTCGGTCGAAACAGAGGATTGTACGGCGGTGAAAGTCTTGAACGCTGATGATGCGGTTCTTTGAAACGGTGAAAAAGATGAAGTGGGGTGTGGGTTAAATCCTGATATAGTAAGTTTTCTGGGTTGGGATTTGTCAAATTTGGTGGGAAGTTGCAGTGAGGGAAGAGATAAAATTCTCAGAGCTTCCATGGCTGCTGCCACGTGTGGAGCTCAACAAGGTAAGAACTTGGAGGCTCAAAAGTGTAAAGCTTTGAACTTGGCATGCAGTAAAAAGAAACTTGAGGTTCAGATTTGGGATGAGAATTTTGTCGACCGAAGTGGATAACATGACAAGTGGTTCAAGGCTTAACCGGTCATAATGTTTCAGTTTGCTGTTCAATGCATGCCCAACCACATAATGTTTTGATCCTTTTCTGTTTTTCCGTATTTCTTTTATTTTTTAGGTGATGATTTTAGGAAAATAATTAACTCTATGCAACGAACGGTACGGAATGCAACCATTTACCAAACTGAGAGATGATCCACATTATCCAATAGACAACATTGACATTAGCATGATACTCTTTGTATAGTGTACAAACTCATGCTCAACAGTGTTTAGTTTACATGCATTCGGATCACGTATGTTTCATAATTACATTACCCCGCGCGGTGTTTATTGTTGTATTAAGCTAAACGCACGGTGAGCGAGGATTAACCAGATCACCGGAGAGCATGGTTGTAGTCATGAAAGTGAAACTGTTTGTAGATAAAGTAAGCCAACCATTTTGAAGCTGCAAATGATAGTATAGCTGCTGCAACGAGCGTAGTTCTTGCAGCCACTGATATGGCAGCCTGCTTGGTTGCGGCAACAATTCCCACTAAAGCAAAAGCAGCAAACTGCAATACAACTTCGAG